GTGCATTGCAGGCAGATTTTTTACTGCTGAACCACCAGGGAAGACCCCAAATCAACTATACTTCAATTAAAAAAAAAAAAAAAACTTCTGTTTCCATTTGTCCACAAAAATCTGGTTTATGGAATACAAACTAAAGGATACTTTCCGAGCAGAAGTTGATCACACGAACCATTCCTAAGACTGGTTGTGCTGTGGCCTATCAAGCCAGAGGCCCTGGCACAGAGGGCATGCCTTTGGCCTTGGGAAGCACACACTCACCGGCTGCGTGACCTAAGGCAGCTTCTCTATGCCTTGGTCTTCTCATCTATAAAATGGACATACTGAAAGCACCCGCTCAAAAGGCTGTGGTTAAAGACTCAATGAGTTACCATATGCAGGTACTTGAAAATGTGCCTAACACAGCAGAAAGTTAGCTTTATTATTTTTTTTTTCCAGAACATTCCAGCCTATGAGGCTTCCAGCCAGGGGTGAAGTGCCTATTAAGGACACCAGCCCCTTACTTCCAGGGAAGCAGGGGGAGAGCTGGGTCAGACCTAGACTCAGTTTTGCCCCATGCAAGCAGCAAATGTGAAGGTGGATACTTCCCATTTGGCAGAGCAGGACGGTAGCCACACAGCTGGACTACGGAAGATTCTCCCTCTCCTCCAACGAAAAACAACATCATGAGCTGGCAGATGGCTTAGAAATACAAAGTAGAAAGAGGGTTTAGTCATTCTTCAGATATCTGGACCCATTTCTTCCAAAAACATGGAAGGCTAAGCCATCATAATAGGGTTCAGATCTGCCCCAGGGGCCAAGCCATACTTGAGTCAAAACATAACAAAAACCTGGCCGTGAATCGAATTCTCCATATCAGTATTCTGTCTCCAACCAGATTATCAAGGAGCGCTTGCTGAACACCCCCTGTAATCAGAGTACTTTTCTCAATTACCAGGAATTGTAAAGGCACAGGAATGGTGCCCTGTTCTGGAGAGGCTTATTCATGCTCTGAGATTAAAAAATATTTATTGAGTTCTCACTTTGTACTGGGCACTAGGGAAGGGTGAAATCCTGTCTTCCGGAGCATGTGATGTCGGGAGATGGAGGGGGCCGGATAACAAACAGCTAAGTAGACTCAATAGCAGGTGAGTTCGTCATAAGCTCCATAGAGAAGATACAGCAGTGCAGAGGAGGGTCCGATCGGAGGTGTGCAGACACGAGATGGACAGCCTGATGTGCAGACACGCTCTGCGCCCCGGTGGGCTTTCTCAGAGCTGTCATGTGGCAGAGATGGGTGAGGGACCTTTCAGCAGACGTGGGCAGACCACCAGGCCAAGGAGCAGAATGGACCCAAGGACAGAGAATTGGGGGAGCTGCAGCCTATGACAGCTGACAGCTGGTACCTACCAGGTGCTCCTGGGAGCATCACGGGAGTCAAAGAAAAAGACCACAGGTTCACGCACCACAGACCTCTGCCTTCAGGTTAGCAGAGAGCCTGGTGACCAAGGGGGACAAGGACCCTGAACTGGAGTTCAGCAAGTACCGGCCCCCCAGGAACCAACACAAAGCTAGGCACCCCCTCCCTCCTGGTTTCCTAAGGCCCTTTAAGCCACCTGACCTTCACTTCCCGCCCACCTGGGCCTTCTTAGGGAAAGACGGGGCAGAAGGAGGAAGCCATTGGAGAGAAGAGGATGGAGCACTGCTGAGAGGAGCTGTCTAATTCATTCAGCCAGACAATGCTTTAAGCAGGCTAGCTAATTGTTTCTTGCTACCCGAGGGAGTAAGGGAGAGTTCAGATCAACTAGAGGTGGAGAAATTACACTTCTGCCACTTAGGCAGAGAGGGAGTGGGGAGGGAGGAAAAGGGGAGACAGTGGATGCAGAAGCTCTTTTGAGTTTTGCTGAAAACATGGAAACGATTCAGAAGAGGGAGGAAAATCTGATGATGCATGTGAGAGAGAACTTCCAGAGTGATTTCTAGGATTTTGAGGAGGTAAATGAAGTGCCAAGCGGCAGAGTTTAGTTCAGGTACAAGTACCATCCACTCATTCATCTGTTCAGGGGGTGAATGGGGGTGTGTGTGTGTTGAAAAGCAGAGACATTCCTCTGCCAATAAAGGTCCATATAGTCAACGTTATGGTCTTCCCAGTGGTCACATACGGTTGTGAGAGGTGAACCATAAAGAAGGTGGAGTGTCAAAGAATTGATGCTTCAAACTGTAATATTGGAGAAGATGCCTGAGAGTCTCATGGACAGCAAGGAGATCAAACCAGTCAGTCTTAAGGGAAATCAATCCTGAATACTCATTGGAAGGACTGATGCTGAAGCTCAAGTATTTTGGTCACCTGATGTGAACAGCCGACTCATTGGAAAAGTCCCTAATGCTGGGAAAGATTGAGGGCAGAAGGAGAAGAGGGCATCAATGGATGAGACGGCTGGGTGGCGTCACCGATGCGATGGACGTGAACTTGGGCAAACTTTGGGAGATAGTGAGGAACAGGGAGGCCTGGCATGCTGCAGTCCATGGCATCTCAAAGAGGCAGACTGGGTGACTGAACAACAACATCCACTCATTCATCTGTCCAGGGGTTGGGGGGATGGCGGCTGTGGTGATGGGAGCATGTAGTTCTCTTCCAACCGCTTCTATTCTTTCCAGAGAATTAAAGTACAAGGTCACCACCTAAGCGTGAGGATGGGAAGGAAGTCTTGAGGATCAAGGAGACAGGAGGATGTACAGAGTGGTCTGGAGGGTGGGAAAAGCAAATGAAATAGGATAAGGATGAGGACGGTGGGAAAAAACTAAGCCCCCAGCTAAAGGTTGTCAATTTCGAGAGATGCAGCTCTACTCAAGATACTTGGAAGCCTGCACAAGGTAAGCAGAGGTTCAGCTTCACCAGGGCTATGGCTGAGCTCTGGCCAAGGAGACCAGAAAGAAAAGAGCACAGGCGTTTAGAGTGTTTTCCTGGAAGCCCTTAGCATTGCACTTGGAGTTTAAATTTGGTACAGTCGGGAAGTGTGGACCTGAGGCTCATGAGGGACAAGGTGGAGGAGAGGCTGAATGGAGGTCCCACTGAACTCCTGCAGTTGGAGGACTGCAGGAATTGAGGTATTAGAGAAAGTGAGCTAGAAAGACAGGGGGTGGAGGTCAGAATCTGCAGTGGCTGAAACTAAGATGAAGGCAAGCTCCCAGGTCCTGGGAATGATAAGGCAGAAGGGATGTGTTCACAGGGGCCACTGCCTGAGGCGGGGAAGAGGACAAGACCACAGATAGACAGGAGAGGCAGAGGAATTGTGTAGGGGTGTGAATTTTATTAATATCAGGAGCTCTTGAGAAAATGAAGGTCAGGCACCAAAATCCTCAAGAATGAAGGTGAATGAGGGGGGCGAGGCTGGAGAGGGCACAGTGTGAGGAGGTTAGATTTAAAGATAGGTTTTAGGAAGATGCGGACAGTGATGATGAGGCCGGTGACCGGTACCCCTCCTCCACGCCCATGGCTCTGCCTGTGATGGAGGGCTGAGCTGAGCAGGGGGAGCCAGGCTAGAGTAAAGCCTGCTTTCAGTTCCAGGAAGAAGAAGGGAACTCGGGAAAAGAAGTTGAGGATTTAAACCTCCGTACGATGGATGGAAAAACCACTAGATGGTTTCCATCCACAAACAAAGAACTCAGCTCCAAGGACTTAAAAATTAAATGGAAAGAACAGCCCCAGACACATCCTGAGCTCTCAGCATCAGCTACTGTCATCAAGACCACAGTGAACGGACTCGTGAATCAGTTTTCAGTCTTCCCCCCGGGAATTTAGTTCTTCCTGTGTGACGGTCGCTCAGTGGGGTCCTACTCTCTGCGACCCCATCGACTGCAGCCCGCCAGGCTTTTCTGTCCATGGAATTCCCCAGGCCAGGATACTGGAGTGGGTTGCCATGCCCTCCCTCAGGGTATCTTCTCAACCCAGGGATCAAAGCTGGGTCTCCAGCATTGCAGGCAGATTCTTTACTGTCTGAGCCACCAGGAAAGTCCTTGGTGTTGGCCAACACTATGCTTTAAGTGTATCACACACTTGGTGCACAGAAACAAACCAGCACACGTCTAAGTACTCAGATGTCAGCATAAATACTTAAGCCTTTTTCCTGTGCTTAGTCGCTCAGTCTTGCCCGACTCTTTGAGACCCATGGACTGCAGCCAGCCAGGCTTCTCTGTCCGTGGAATTCCCCAGGCCAGGATACTGGAGTGGGTTGTCAATCCCTTCTGCAGGGGATCCTTCGGACCCAGGGATCGAACCCAGGGGTCCCGCATTGCAGGCGGATTCTTAACCGTCTGAGCCCCCAGGGAAGCCCCTTAAAACGAGTAGACATGGTCATGTCCATAGATTTCAGAGTCATAAGAGATCGTTCAAATTACTTGGTCAACTCCACCACCATTTGAAAATTTACAGAAGGGGAGAACTGACTGCTGCCCCCTCAGGCTGGGGCTGACCTGAGATGACTCGGCCATAGAGCCACCACCAGAACCCAGGAGGGGCACTAGATTCTGGTCTAAGCTCCTCTCCCGCTATTAGTCCTGTGGCTCCCTCCCGAGCCATCAAGAGGCAGTCACCAGCCGAGGTCCCTCAGAAGGTCTCTCTCAGAACCCAACCGAAAAAAAGCGCCCGCACTCCGCTGGGTGAAGTAACCTACGTGGCTGGGGGCTCAGAAATCGCTTTCCCGAGTCGGGGCAGGCGCGGTCCCGGGCGGCCGTCTCCAGCGTTCAGTTGGGGAGGGAAGCGCCTGGAACCCGAGGGACCGGGCGGCGGCCGGGGGCGGGGACTGCGCGCCACCCGCTCGGCAGCCCTCAAAGCGGACCCTGCGGAATCGCGTTCCGGCGCGCGGTGCAGCGGGGCTCGAGCCGTGCGGGCGGCGGGAGCTCCGCGCAAACTGCGCGCGCCGCCGCCGAAGGAGGCGCTTTCGCAGCGGGGCCAGGCGCTACGCACCCGGCCCTGCCCCGGGGACCCCGCGCGCGTCCGTGCGTCTGCCCCGCGCGCCGCGCCCATGGGCAGCCCCGGGAACCGTAGCCACGCTTGGCGGGGCGCCGGGGAGCCGCCGTGGGCCGCGCTGCTGCCGTGCGACGAGCGCCGCTGCTCGCCCTTCCCCCTGGGGGCGCTGGTGCCCGTGACCGCCGTGTGCCTGGGGCTGTTCGCCGTCGGGGTGAGCGGCAACGTGGTGACGGTGCTGCTGATCGGGCGCTACCGGGACATGCGGACCACCACCAACTTATACCTGGGCAGCATGGCCGTGTCCGACCTGCTCATCCTGCTCGGGCTCCCCTTCGACCTGTACCGCCTGTGGCGCTCGCGGCCCTGGGTGTTCGGGCAGCTCCTCTGCCGCCTCTCACTCTACGTGGGCGAGGGCTGCACCTACGCCACGCTGCTGCACATGACGGCGCTCGCCGTGGAGCGCTACCTGGCCGTCTGCCGCCCGCTCCGGGCGCGCGTCTTGGTCACCCGGCGCCGCGTCCGCGCGCTTATCGCCGCTCTCTGGGCCGTGGCGCTGCTCTCCGCCGGGCCCTTCTTCTTTCTGGTGGGCGTCGAGCAGGACCCTGGCCACGATGCGCTCCGGGACCTTAACGGCACCGCGCGGCCCTCCCCCTTGCCGCCGCCGCCCTTCCTGGGGTCCTCTCTGGCTTCCCCGCGGTCCCCGCCGTCTGGGCCCGAAGCAGCCGCCGCCGCCGCGCTGTTCAGCCGGGAGTGCCGGCCGAGCCCGGCGCGGGTGGGCGCGCTGCGCGTCATGCTGTGGGTCACCACCGCCTACTTCTTCCTGCCCTTCCTATGCCTCAGCGTCCTCTACGGGCTCATCGGGCGCGAGCTGTGGAGGAGCCGCGGGCAGCTGCGAGGCCCGACCACCTCCGGCCGGGAGAAGGGCCACCGGCAGACGGTCCGCGTCCTGCGTAAGTGGCGCCGCCTCTGTTCCAAACACCCCAACCGCGCGCTGGCTTCCTTTTGTGGTTCGACCCCAGCCTCCACCTGTTTATCCCTCCACTCTCCGTAGAAAACCATCTCCCGTCTTCTAGGAGCCCTGTGTCACCCAAGGAGCCCCCCTAACGGTGGGATAGCCGGGTCTGGTAAATAACTATTATTTCCAAAGCCTCTGTGAGCAGAGAGCTAAACTGGTCCAAGATGAATGATTGCAGGCTCTTAAGCCGACCGCCTGTGTCTGTTAGACGCGGCAGATGTGGAATTATTCACAGAACCCGGGAGAAGACAGGATACCTCACATTAAGATAAAGTTTCTTTAATAAATGTTATGGTATCCTGAAGACTGAAGTGAATCGTGCCCGTAACAAAAAAAATAAATAAATAAAGATCGTGCAGACGTTGCATAATTCTTTTCAACAGAAAATAGAGAACATGTTTCTGAAACAGGTTTGTGGAAAGAAACGATTTCTACTTGTTAGAACTTGTTAGTAGAAATCACTCTCTCTGGTTTATGTCCGGCCTTGGTAGTGCATGTATGAGCTGAATATTCAGTTGTTGTTAGTTGTTCTTGAATATTCAATTTCAAAGCAGACATCAATGTTGTCTGTAACCTGGTAGTTTTTCTGGGGTGGGGATCTGGCTAGGCAAGAGTTTTATTTATTTCGCTGTTAATTATTGCTTCAGTGGGAACTCTTGTTTTCGGATGCTTTAGCTAATTCTGGTGCCTGTGTTTTGTCTTGCAGTGGTGGTGGTTCTGGCGTTTATAGTTTGCTGGTTGCCTTTCCACGTTGGCAGAATAATTTACATAAATACCAAAGATTCCCAGATGATGTACTTCTCTCAGTACTTTAACATCGTTGCTCTGCAACTTTTCTATCTGAGCGCCTCCATCAACCCCATCCTCTACAACCTCATTTCAAAGAAGTATAGAGCAGCGGCCTGGAAACTGCTGCTGGCCAGACGGTCCTGACAGAGAGGTTTCTGCAGAAGCAGGGAGGCCGCAGGGAACCCCGCCGGTGTCAGGGCGGGCTGCACGGAGGACAGCGCCAACGTGCCGATGTCAGCAACTAGCACCGCTAAACCCTGCGCCCTGTCCCGTGGCTCTGGAACTTAAGGGAAAACAGATCTGTAGGGCGCAAAGAATCAGGAAGGGGAACAGATGCTGTTAGGGAGAATTGGAAAGAGTAGCTGACATTTTGCAATATAAGGAAATCAACCCTAAATACTCATTGGAAGGACTGATGTTGAAGCTGACGCTCCAATACTTGGGCCACCCGATGGGAAGAGCCAACTCACTGTTAAAGACCCTGATGCTGAGAAAAACTGAGCAAAGGAGGAGACAGGGGCCACAGACGATGAGATGGTTGGATGGCATCATTGACTCAATGGACATGAGTTTGAGCAAGCTCCAGGAGATGGTGAAGGACAAGAAAGCCTGGCATGCTGCAGTCCATGGGGTTGCAAAGAGTCGGACACAACTTAGCGACTATAACAATAACAAGAAAGAGTGGTTGACATTTTGCAAGTTTGTCAGCAACTTAGCATGGATTTTTTTTTTTTAAACAAAGGTATGAGATGTATCTGTACCAATCTCTCTGGCTTTCATGTCATGTACCTCCTTGGGGAAGTTCATTTCATCCTCCTGAAATCCCACATCACAAAATGTGCTCTGGGGAGGTTTTTTAAGTCCTCACTCTCCTACTCTCAGGATATGACACTCATTTTCCAGTTAACAAGTAATCCAGACAGATGGTGCCATAAAAACTGTCACCTGTGAGGTCAGAGGTGTATTTTGTTTTAGATATATGTGTTATGTGCCATTTTTGTTTTATGTTTTAGATAAATGTGATGGTGCATCTACAAGGAATCCAGGATAATGAGAGTTTGATCTAAGATATTACTTAATGTTTACATATGGCAGCAAAAATGTTTAGAAACAAGTGAAAGGAATTCTGGGTAGAGTTGAGTGATCAGGGGTCTCCCCTCTCTCAGGCTCAGAGAAAATCATTTACTTTAGGCACAGTCCCCTCTATTCAGAACCTAGTCACTGAAGCCTGAGGGCAGGGAGCTGCAGCAGGATTTGGCTTCCACAAAGAGACTGCGATCACATTGATAAGAGCTTTAATATGCCTTATTTGCCTTGGCTTGGTGGGCTAAGCAGTGATGGATTCAAGTTTCAGGTCTGAGTCTGATCTCTTAAGAGCCTTACCCACTCCCACCCTGAGAAGCTACACTTACAGAAAAACATGAGTCAAGGGAAAGACTGGGGGCATGAGAAGGGGGCGACAGAGGATGAGATGGTTGGATGGCATCACAGACTCAATGGGCAGGAGCTTGAGCACGCTCCAGGAGACAGTGAAGGACAGGGGAGCCTGGTGAGCCACGGGGTCGCAAAGAGTCGGACACGACTGGGTGACTGAACAACAACAATGGATGCAGTCAGGGTGAGAGAGACTGTACTGGATATTCTGGCAAACAACTGTGTAACATTGTTTTTTTTACAGTTTGAAACATAAACCTGTTTCTAGAGGGCTGCTGCTGCCTCTGGGAACTCCAAAGGGCCTCAGCCACTGCCAGGGTCTTATGAATGGTGGCCCCTGGAGGTAAGCAGGATGCAACTAGCTCAGCTATGAGCTACAAATGGTGACTCCATAAAAAAGGGTCTGCTCCACATGCTGACCAGGTCCTCTTTCATGCTTTTTCATGTGATTAGCTATGTACATGATGCCTTCAAGTCCCCTTGAAGCATCCTAACACCCTGGCCCTGCCCTCGTGAAGCAGCGAGGAAGCCTCCTGTCTATACTTGTGTTTCTGCCAACTAATGGAAGAGGCATACTGGTCACTTGGGGCAGCAGTCCCTAAACTGTGTTCTGCAGATTTTAAGAGAGCATTTGAAAAAAGGATTCTGTGGTCAGCTATGATAGAAAAACACTGCATGCTGCACCCACCTTCCCAAGAGTCACACAACACAAAAGACCATGTCGGAGGCTCTGAGATGCTGTTGCTGGGGACACTGCTGGGGGGCCTCACTGTGCTCCATGCGGCCTTGGGCCTACGCCACGCCTCTGCTTGGTGGCCTGAAGGGACATGTGCTGGAGCTGCAACCACAGTCTTTCTTCTCATGGGAGTTCCTCTCTGGGGCAGTCAGAGTGGCTTCTTCCCTGTGGAAAATCATGGCTAAGGACTTTATTGATACATTATTTATAGTATAATGCTTTTATGTTTTTATTTATAATGTTTTATTTATGGTATAAAGTTTTAGAAGCAAAGAGCTCTCCTTTGAGCTTTCTTGTTCAGATTCTAGAAAAGAGGGATCTGCATCACACTTTCCTGTGACAGACGTGTGTTTCCAGGTGTCACAGGGAGTATCACCCTTTCTTATCACCACTGGGTCCCTGAGATGGAGTCTCTGAATTCCATTGCTCCTGTGGGTGGCTGGGCACCTGCTTTCAAAATGCCCACCTCACCCATCGGCGGATTGTGAGATGAGTGCAGTCTGTCATATGTTTATTGGAATGTGAATAGAATAATCAGTGTATCACGTGTACTAAGGCCAACTGTTATGTTGTGAAACTTTTGTTGCAATTATGTATCAGTTGGTATCTTTCCTGGTTCATAAAATAAAATGTATTCTCATTGTGGGTCATAGTCAAAAATATTTGAAAAGTTGTTCTAAGATTTAAATTGTTCTGTGTTTAGTCATGTCTAACCTTTTGCAACCTCATGGATTATAGCCGATCAGGCTCCTCTGTCCATGGGATTTTCCAGGCAAGAATACTGGAGTGGGTTGCTATTTCCCTCTTCAGGGGGATCTTCCTGACCCAGGGATCAAACCCATGTCCCCTGCATTGGCAGGTAGATTCTTTACTACTAACACCACCTGGGAACCCCCGAAGTTCTCTAGCACAGCAGAAAGTGTCCTCTTGTGTTGACCACTAGCTGTAAAGGGGAGAGGCATCATGGGAAGATGTGAGGAGTGCCCTCACGGGTCTCAAGTCAGGGGTCACTGGAGAGGGCTAGATGGCTGCGATTTCAGTCCTGGGCCTCCCTCTGCCCTGCGGATGGTGTCCTGGATGCTCTGACGGGGAACTCTCACTGCCCCCAGAGAGAACTCTCTTTGAGCCCCCCAGCTTTTTTCAAGTGAGGCACCAACCTTGGGGAAGGGTTTGTGTTTCATTAACTGACTCCACAAATACTCACCGAGCAAAGTACATGACAAAATAGAAACATTAGTTCGTGTTATGGGGTTGAAATCATCTCGACTTTTGAATGGCCTTTTTGGCCTTGAAATGTATGACTGTATTGTCTAGACTAACCACAGATTCAGCTCACAGGCCAATAAAAGCAGTGACATCAGAAAGGCCTACAGAATTTCAAGTGATTTTAAAACAAAAAAAGGTGGTTCTGTACAGATTCTGCTTTGGTAGGTCTGAAGTAGGGCCCAAGGTTCTGCATTCCTAATAAGCTCCTAAATGATGCTGATGTTGCTGGTCCAAGGGCCTTAGCTTCCTTGCCTGTAAAATGGAGATGATGAAAATCTGCATCATAGATGTTGTATTAAATGAAGTGATGAGCATTTATATCTTTCTCCCACCCCTCTCAAGCTGTGTCTGCTTGATCAAGGTACTCAGTGTCTTGGTTCTTATCAGTAGGGATAAAAATAAAAATACATACTTCATACGGTTGTTGGAAGGAGTCAATGAATATATAAAAAGGGCTGGACTTCCCAATTGGCTCAGTGGTAAAGAACCCGCCTGCCAACGCAGTAGACGTGGGTTCAATCTCTGGATCAGGAATATCCCCTGGAGAAGGAAATGGCAGCCCACTCCAGTATTCTTGCCTGGGAAATCCCATGGACAGAGGAGCCTGGTGGGCTACAGTCCATGGGGTCAAAAAAGAGCTGGACGTGACTGAGCACTGAACACGTGCAAAGTGGCTAGAACAGAGCCGGGAACGTAGAAAACGCTCTGTACTGTAAGATACCATTATCATTACACTATCATTGTTATAAAGTTGATTCAAGTAGCCGGTCCACCAGCATTAGGTCCCCATTTCCTCTTACCTGTCCTCTCATTCCTACCCCTCCCTCCAGTCCCTTGACTTCTAACATGAATTATCAGAGAACCTCTTCAGGCTGCTGCTTCAGAAACGCCCAAACCCAGTCCAGACGGTGCTGCACACACGGGGAGCCTCACGAAGCATGGTCGTGGACCCTGATACCAGGCCCACCGCCTGCCTGCTCCCAGGCCGCCGATGGCAGAGAGCCCCAGGACATCGCAGGAGGCGGGCCTGCCCGTCCTTCCTACCTCGTGGGGGCACAGACGTCCTCAGGGCCCCTGGACAGCCTTACGTTGTAGCGCAGTGATCTATGTGGCACCAAGTTTACCTTTCTGAGGAAACCAAGAGGGACAATATGTGGAAAACTTGAGAAGTGACTTCTCTCTGGCAGCGCTGCCCTCCATAACAAAGCAAATGTGCCATGAAGGGCGTCTGGATTTTGTTTTGGCTTCTCTTTGCTTCTTTGAGGTTGAAGTGCCGCCAGGAACTGCCTTCCAAGAACTCTTTAGGAAACCTCAATTTCTGGATGCAGGGTGGTGCTCAAGGTTATGTTCTTGCCTGAAATGACCGCACGAGGGCCGATCCTTTGTACAAGGGTGCACTGGCCACCAGGGGTCGCTATCAGTCCCGCAGGGACCTCATCCCCAGGCATGCAGGAGGCACGGTCATTGGTCGTGGTGTGCCTTCCACATACCAGAGCAAGACCGAGGGTGAGGTAAGTTTCCTTCTACAAGCCAGGTGTTCAGTCTCTGCCAAATGTCACCAGTACCAACAAATCCAGCACAGACACGATGAGCTCCCTGGGACCTCAGCTTGTTTTATTGTAAGAGGATTCTATCCAAATACACACACTGCTAGCACCAATGTTCCCAATCAGCAGGACCTAGAATAAAAGGAAGAGATCCGGGTTATCTACAGAAAATAAGTAAATGATACATAAAGCGGGGAGGGATACTAATTAGTGATGTTGAGCACCTATTCTTTACGGGCACTGCGCTACCTGGGATCATTGAGTTTTTAAGAAAATTTGTGATAAACATAATAGCCCTCCCTGCCTTCCTCCATCCCCTCCATTTGTCTCTCCCTCCTTCCTTCCCCATTCTCTGAATAAGCTCGCCAAATAGTCATCTGACAGGACTTCCCTGGCGGTCCAGTGGTTAAGACTCCAGCCTTCCAATGCAGGAGGTGCGATTTGATCCCTGGTCTGGAAGCTAAGATCCCCACTTGCCACAACTAATATTTTGCATGTGCAACTAAAGATCCCGCATGCCACAACTAAGACCCGGCACAGTCAAATAAATATATAAATATTTTAAAAATAAACAAATAAAATAAAACTTACATGGAAGATTAAAGGGTCAAGAATAACTAGGATACTCCTGAAGAAAATAAGGTGTTTTTTGGGTGGGGGGAGGAGTTAAGGGGGCAGAGGTATAATAAACCAATAACATACAATATAGAACCCAGGAACAGATTTACGTACATATGGAAACTTGATACATGACAGAGGTGACACTGCAGATCAACGAGGAGATAATGCTGGGCTAACTGATTATCCAAGTGGAAAAGAAAGTGGATTCCAACCTAACATCATGCACAAAACTAAATTCTAGATGAATGATGATATAAATATGAAAGGAAAAACTTATGGCTTTTAGAGGAAATAAAAAAGTTACTATTAAAAAACAGATATAATTGACATAGACAAATAAAAGATATTTTTATAAACAGATAAAAATGCTTTTTGAAAAGATACAAAACCCACTTAAGAAAATTATTTGTATGTTTGGCACATTAAAATAAAGAACTATGCACTGAAAAAATAATTAAATGAAAAAGCAAGTGACAAATGGGGAGAAGACATTTACCATACACATTTCCACCCAAGAATGAGTATCGAGGATGTATAAAGGATGTTTACAAATGAATAAGAAATAACTACAAAATAGAAAAATGGTTAACAGGTATTTCATAGAGAGGACACATGTATGACCAATGCATCTAAGTAGAAATCAGGGAAAATCATAACCACAAGATATCATTTTATGCCAACCAGATTGGTAAACATTAAAAGTTTGACAATACCCAAGAATTAGTGGGGATACAGAGCTATGTAAATTGGTCCAGTCTCTCCAGAAAACTTTTCAGCAGTATCTGGAGAACTTGACAACTCAAGAATTCTACTCCTAAGTGTAGTCCCTAAAGAAGCTCACCCATTTGAACATAATAAGTGAAGTCGCTCAGTCGTGTCCGACTGTTTGCGACCCCATGGACTATAGCCTACCAGGATCCTCAGTCCATGGGATTTTCCAGGCAAGAATACTGGAGTGGGATGCCACTTCCTTCTCCAATACAAAAAAGTTTAAAGCAGCATTGCTTGCAATAGCAAGAAGCTGGAGATAGAGCAAATGCCTCGTGACTCAAATATGGGTAAATAAATTGTGGTATATAGCTACAATGAAATACTACACAACAGTGACAATTAATGAACCACAGTCATATCCATCAACACTGAAAATTCTCTTCAGTCTTTTACAAAATAATGTACTCTCATAACGTTGGCTTTTGCTTTCATAGTCTCGGAGCGGTTTTTGTGCCTATTTTTTAAATATTTCAAATTATGATAACAGCTTAGGTTGGTGATGGAAAATGGGCTGAGTCACTGGGGGGAGGGAGGCGCTTCATTCTGAGTCATGCCTAGGACACATAAAATAATAAAACTAAATTGCACTAAGCACAAATCCACAATGTCTGATACCTCTCAGATTTTCCAAGGGCCACTTCCTCCATCCTCAATTTCCTGAGGACAGTTCTACCCTCAAAGTCTTCATGTGTTTAAGCAGCAGCAGGATGTTCTTGTGGCGGTTCCCGGCACTAAGTTGCCCAGCGCCGGCCAACCTTAGAGGACAACCACCTGGGACCGCCCAGCTCCCACCTCATTCGCCTCTCAAACTCCCTGAGACCCTGACCGCTAACTGAATGGGGGCTAGTTTCCATCTTAGTGGCTCAGGCAGTAAAGCATCTGCCCGTAATGCAGGAGACCTGGCTTCGATCCCTGGGTCGGCAAAATCTCCTGGAGGAGGAAGTGGCAACCCACTCTAGTATTCCTGCCTGGAGAATCCCACGGACAGAGCAACAGGGGGGCTACAGTCCATGGGATCGCAAAGAGTGGGAGAGACTGAGTGATTAACACTGACTTCCGTTTCAATTTTCCTTCACTCTCGGGCCAACTCGCACGTATGCGAAGCCCTCATCGCCCTCGCCAAGTGTGCGCAACTTGGGACTTCGAGCCAAGACATCGTCAAGCGACCAGACTTCATTCAGCAAACCCTAAGAACGCAAACACGAGCGTCAAATGATCCACGGCCCCGTGTCCCCTACTACTCGCCGGGTCGCCACGGGAGGAGTAGCCCCTGTGCCACCGCGGCCGCGCCTCGCCGTGACGTCACACAGGGCGCCCGGAAATGGCCGGCGAGCTCGTGCGTCATCTGAATGCGCCGAGTTGGCCGTCGCCGTGCTGTCTGTTGCTGGGAGGAGGCGAGAGGTGGGGTTGCTGGGGCAAAGATCATGCAGGACAGCGAGAGGTTCCCTGGGCAGCAGAGGCCGCTAGGCTGGGGATGAGAGAAGTGGGGCAGATGCAAAATCTGGAGAGCGCGGGGGCCGGACGGTCAGTCAGCACCCAGACGGGCAGTATGACCGGTGAGTGCCCCGAATCCTGCTCCCGCCGTCAGCCTCTCTCTGCTCTGCGCATCTCCCGCCGTTTCACTCCAGGTTTCCTGCTTGCTCTTCTTCGCCTGCGTTTCTGCTCCTGGGTGTCTCATCCCTGCCCCGGGCGCGTCCCCGCCTCCGTCACCGGGATCTCCTGGCCCGGCTGCACTGGCTTCTGAAGTTGCGCTGACGCCTCACTCCCCTTTACTTTTTCCTCCCAGGTCCTGGAGCTGGGATCTCGGGGGATCGGCGAGCCTGAAAATTCCCTAAACCGTGTTTTGTGTTGTTTTTTAAATTTGATTCCAAAATTAACCGCACGCGGCGCTTTCCTGTATTTCAGCTGCTTTACCTTTTAAGGTCACCGTATTTTTAGTTTATGTTCTAATCCCTGCCCTTGTTGCAGCGCCTCATCACTTCAGAGTAAAGCTTGCTTCACCGTGATCTCCGATGCAAGGACTTGTCATAACTTTTTAAAAATATAATTCTCATAGCTACGTGCATCACTTGTACTTTTTTTTTCCCTGCTGGGTGAAAGAGGGCCCAACTTCGGAAGGTGCTGGAAGAGGTTGCCTTTATGGAGGCTGAAACTTTCTGATAAGAAAGTGCTTTGATTCTTTTGCACACGAATCCTTTTTCTCTGCCTCTTGCTAAAACAGCGGAGCCAAGGCTGCAGCACCCAAGTGGAAGTGAGCTTAGTTCTGATTTTCATCATCAGTAAAAGTTTTAAGTGTTTGCCCCCTCTTTTTGTAGGTGAAATACCAAGGCTTTCTAAAGTCAACCTTTTCACTCTGCTCAGTCTCTGGATGGAACTCTTCCCAGCGGTGAAAACCCAAAGACAGAAATCTCAGGTATAATTTGTTTCGTAGATAGTTTTTCAATCTTTAGGCAAGCGGTGGTCTAAAATCTGATTTTATTGCTCTAGTTTCGGTCACACTTAAAAACAAACTCACTAAGCCTTCAAATTTACAAAACACTCGCGTGGTTTAGTGTGATGCTTGTAGTTCATAGCTGTGATGGTTTCGCTTTCCAGACTAAAAATAGAATATTAACAGTTACCCTCTCAGACTGCCATCTGTATTTTCTTTAGTCAGCTGGCTGTTAAGGTCTTTGGCCCACATTTTAATCAGGTTGTCTGTTTTCTTATTGTTGACTTTTAAGAGTTCTTTGTATATTTTGGAGAGCAGTCTTTTATCAGATGTGTCTATTATAAATATTTTCTCCTAGTCTGTGACTTGTCCTCTCATTCTCTTGAGACTTTGTCTTTTGCAGAGTGGTTTTTAATTTTAATGAAGTCCGACTTACCATTGATTTCCTTCATGCATCATGCCTTTGGTGTATTTTAAAAGTCTTTGCCATACTAAAGATCATCTAGGTTTTCTCCTATGCTTATTTTCTAGGAGTGTTATAGTTTTGGCCTGTGACTCATATTGAGTTAACTTTTGTGAAGAGTGTAAGGTCCATGTGTAGATAGGGAATTTACTTCATGATAAAATGATAGTTCTTGGAGTGGTTTTCTCCCAATACCTATGTGAAATGTTTTATAAATAAAACATTATTTAAGATGTTGTGCATTTTTATTTCCTATTTTTCAACCACTTTCTATTATTGGCTTTGAGAAAGTTCTTCATTTTCTTCATGGATTTTGAAGTCCTTTATCCTTCCTAGTTGTTAATAGCTTAGTATTGTTTTATGAAAATAGAAGATTGCCAAGCCGTTGGTTTTTTGGTTTGGGGATTTTTTTTGCTGATGGAATTTGTCTTAAAGAGACAGAAGCAAATGTTTAAGATTTAAGCCTTTTAAAGTGTATTTAAAAGTTGGAATTTACATTGCAGTGTTATTCAGCTGTGAGACGGAAGGACATCCTCCTATTTGTGGCATAATAAATGGACCTTGAGCACATTATGCAAAATGAGTAAGTCAGACAGAGAAAGACAAGTACTGTATGGCCAAACTTGGAGAGAGTAAAATGGTGGTTACTGGGGGCTGAGGGGACAAGATAGATGTTGTTTAAGGGTACAGGCTTATGAGTAGTAAATAAGCCCTGGAGATCTAGTGCACAGTCGCAGGGAATGCAGAAAACAATATTGTTTTATAATCATCAAACATGCTAAGAGACTAGGATTTAACTTTTCCAACTACTAGAAAGAAGTGAATAGTTGTGTAACATGATTGAGTTGCTAATTATTGCTATAATGGCAATCATAATATACAAATGTATCAAATTAATGTACACCTTAATATTTTACAATGTTACATGTCAAATGTATTTCAATTAAACATTAATTAAAAGCGGGGCTTTTTACAAATTGACTAATAATTTTGAAGAAACTTTTGTAATATAAAATTTGGTATCATTTTAATTCATTCATACACACCACACACAGACACACACACACCCTAAAATACACACACACACACACACACACACCCTAAAATATATCTTGTTCTTTTCCATCAGACAGGCACATTAATTTATATAAATAATTCCACTATTAATTGCACATGATGTTCACAAAGTTAAGATCTTTTTCCTATTAAGAAAAATGTTCTCTAAGCTAAAGTAATAAATTCGTTTCACTTAAAACTTTATCCTGCTTTTGCTATAGAAAGTAAGCCACAGAAACTCTTAAGATGCCATTCGCATGTACTTGTATTGGAAACACTGCTTTTGACACTCTAAAAGTCTTTGTCTTTTTAAAAATAAAATATTTTTATGTGTTACAAAAATAATACATGTTTATTATTTACAAAATAGAAGAAAAAAAATCCCTCATAATTGCACCACTTGGAGACTACTAATGTTTTGGTGCTGTTTCACAATCTTTTTGCTCTATTTCCTTTATTCATTGGATATCATTTAATTCTGTATCCTGCCCGTTTGACTTAACGACATTGAAAATGCTCATGTTGTAATACTGTTAGAAACACTGGAGTGGCAACTTAGTCTAATGCTTTCAGAGTGGCCAGTGGTTCAGCAATTTCTCCCACCCTTACCCCTATCTTTGTCAACCATCATTCTGTTCTCTGTGTCTTTGAACTTGGGGATTTTTGATTGTTTCTTTTGAGAATCCCATATAAGAGAGATCATACGGTCTTTTTCTCTGTCTTATTTCAGTTAGCATGATGCCCTTGAGACCCGTTTATGTTCTTATAGATGACAAGATTTCATTCTGTTCTATGGCTAAATAATATTCCATTGTGTGTATTGAATACTCACACAATGTTTCTTCTCCATTCATCTGTTGATGGATGCTGAGGTTGTCTTCATATTTGGGCTATTGTAAGTAAATAATGCTGCAGTGAACATTGGGAGTGCATATCTCTCTTCAAGTTAGTGTTTTCATCTTCTTTCAATAAATACCCAGAAGTGAAATTGCTGGTTCATGTTATAGTTCTGTTTTTAATTTTTAGAAGAACCACCATACTGTTTTTCCATAGTGCCTGAACCAGTTTGCAGTCTCAGCAACAGTGCCTAAGGGTTCCCTTTCCCCACACCCTCCCTATCACTTAGCAGTTCTAGCTTTTTTGATGACAGCCATTTGAACAGGTGTGAGGTGATACCTCACTGTGGTTTTGATTTGCACTTCCCTGATAATTAATGATATACAGTATCTTTTTGTTTACCTGTTGACCATCTGTATATCTTTGGAAAAATGTCTATTCAGATCTTCTGCCCATTTTTTAATTGGATTTGTTGGACTTTTTTTTTTGCTGCTGAGTTGTGTGAGTTCTTTATATATTTTGAATATTAGCCTTTTGTCAGATATGTGATTTGCAAATATTTTCTCCAGCTCAACAAGCTTTTTAGTTTGTTATATTTCCAGTTGTTTATTTTTGCTTTTGCTCTTTTGCTTTTGGTGTCAGATTCAAAAAATCGCCAAAACCTATGTCAAGAAGCTTATCACTTGTTTTCTTCTAGGTTTTTATCATTTTATTGTCATCTTAATGATTGCATAACAATCCATCCTGTCAATGTAATATGTCTATTCTCTTATTACTGCACATTTAAATTATAATTTTTGCCAACCTTAGGGAATTATTAACTACAACCATTTCTGAATATAACTGCTATCTGAGTTTTCTGTGTTGTCAAATATTTACACTGTATGAATGTGTCTTGAGGATTGTTCAGCAAAGTATACATAGTATAAAGAATAAGAATTTTTAATTATCCAATCTAAAACTAGATAAATGAGTGGGACTTCTGAGGGAAAAAAAAACACCATAAGTACTTAAAAATTTTGGAATAGTACACAATGGTATATTACTCAGCCATTAAAAAGAATACATTTGAATCAGTTCTAATGAGGTGGATGATACTGAAGCCTATTATACAGAGTGAAGTAAGCCAGAAAAAAAAAACACCAATACAGTATCCTAACGCATATATATGGAATTTAGAAAGATGGTAACGATAACCCTATATGCGAGACAGAAAAAGAGACACAGATGTATAGAACAGTCTTTTGAACTTTGTGGGAGAAGGCGAGGGTGGGATGATTTGAGAGAATAGCATTGAAACATGTGTATTATCATATGTGAAACAGATCACCAGTCCAGGTTAGATGCATGAGACAGGGTGCTCAGGGCTGGCGCACTGGGATGACCCAGAGGAATGGGATGGGGAGGGAGGTGGGAGGGTGGTTCAGGATGGGAACACATGTATACCCATGGCTGATTCATGTCAATGTATGGCAAAAACCACTACAATATTGTGAAGTAATCAGCCTCCAATTAAAATAAATAAATTTGAAAAAAATATTTTGGACTAGAAATCTATTATTATTGAACATGGCTGTCATTTAAAAATAGTTATCTCTCCTACTGGTTCATAGTTTTAAATTTCAGTTAAGTAAGACTTACCTAAAATTTCCCGAATATTACTTCAGTAAGACTTTAGAATAACTGCGTTGTTCCCTCATATTTCTCTATACATCATGTACTGTCTTTCTCTCCCAGCTCTTCCCATGGTGTCCTCTGGGACCTTATCTTTATGGTGAAAGACTTCACATACTTTTCCAGGACAGAAGTAATATAGCATAATAGTGAAGACAGTGGATTAGGGGCTCAGATCCCTGCTTACCCATTTATTAGCTCTGTGACCATGGTTGAGATATTTAATCTCTATCCACAGTTTCTTCATCTGGAAAATGAGAATAATTATCACTACTTTGTAAAGCTGGGATAATTAAAGAAAGTGATTTAGGACCAGATACATGGTAACTGTTAGGTATTATTATTATCGTGGTACATACAGTCAGCACCACCACTACCACCATCCACACTGCCATCATTTCATTACCAACATCATTACTTCCTCCACTTCCTGTTTTTTACATAGGAAATATTGAATTAATCACATTTTATGTACTAATCCTCCCCCCCACCCCCCCTGCCCCAATCTGCTTTTAATTAGGAAAAGGAGGAAGGAAAGCATGGACCCTTAGGAGACAATGAAGAGACGGCCAGAGTATCTGCTGACAAAAAACAGGTGCATTTTTATGATTTTAAAAAAAGACATGTTCATAATAACAAAGCAAAAGGGATGATACAAAGTAGAATAAAAGTTTCTTTTATATTCAAGTCCCCCTTTCCCATTTCCAGGAGAGTTTTTGTGTACCTTTCTAAAAATCATACATTTACAAGACTGTGTATGTCTCTCCAAAGGCTGGGGGTGGGGAGGTGAGACCAGATAGGATTATTTAGTCTATAATCTGTTCCTCCATCTTGCTCTTTTTTTTTTTTTTTAAACATTTTCAAATTTCACCCTAGTCAGCTTCCCATATGAGTTCATATAGAATGTGTTGAGAAACGCTGTTCCATATTCTCTCAAACTCCAACACATCCTGCTGGTCTCACCAAGAATGTGCTTTGCCCAGGCCATTTCTCAGGAGTTGAGTTTGCAGCAGGTAACCTTGAGGGTTGAAGTAATGTCTCTCTCTGGGACATAGAACAAGTTTGCTCACTATTCTCAATAAAACACAGCAGAATTCCCGAGCACAGTGTTCCTCTCCTATCACGCAGCTAGCTCACTTTGTGTCTAGAAATCTATATAGGCCTGTCCGCATGACCCCTTGTGGGCCAGGGAACCATCACAGACATAGGCTCACACTGCTTGCTGTACTGTGAACCATAGTTGTTTCTGACTTAGGATGCCTTCTGCTATCATCTATAAAACAGTACCAGGCCAGTTTACTAGCTTATAAGTAGAGTAACATCAAAGCCCAAACCTGACCAGATGAGCCTCATTCTTTTTAATATGCATAGTATTTCCTTGCTATCTTAATCTTTGAGTTTTCCAGAGAGACTGTGATTCATTGGGTGTGGACTAGAGACATAACATTCATATTTGGAAAAAAGTTACCTTGTACATTTTTGTTGTACAAAAAAGTTACCTTGATGTACATTCCTGGAGACTTCTGGTTATTTCTGAGAGTGAGTCTCGAAAATGCTCAACAAGAATATAGAAATAATTTGTTTGAGGATATTTATATGTTTTTAATTATAAGAAAGGCAAAAGGAAAAAAGTAATGAACGTATACAAAACAGACTGTCCTCTTTCACTTCTGTTCTGTTTTACTGTAAAACTCTGTGATCAGGATTACGTAGACGACTTGCCAAGATGTTAGTGAAGTGAAGCAAAACCAGGATCCAGAACAGTGACTCACTGCAAAGATTTAGTCTTCTGGGAGTTGAAGTGAGCAGAGGTCCCAGAATGGAATGCAACAGAGGCTTTTATTGGCTTTAAGTCTGGGATGGGAGGATCCTGGTCTCAAACTTGAGGTTTTGGCCCTAGCTAGAAACAAAATGGGAAGGAAAAAAAGATATTTTCGAAAGTAAAAAGTACTCTCAACAACAAAAAAAGTGATAAATGTGGCCTAAAAGATTGTTCCAATAAAAGAATTAATTGATGAGTAATGCTTCATTTTTTAAGAATGATTTTTAGATATTCCACTGAGTCTCATTTTCCACCGTTACAGAAATTTATACTCATAACTGAAACCGAAACTTGGCTCTTTTAGTTTGGTCTCTTCTTGAAAGTGATTTCAAACGTGTCCTCTTGGGAATAACTTTACAGTAAAATCTTTTTGAAAGGGAATAGCGAATAATGGACACTGTTCTCAGCCCAAGTCCCCCTCGTATTGTAAAATCCCTTATGAACCCAAGGATTAGTTTTATGTCTCTTCCTTCAGAATCTTTTGCTCTGAAAACGGCTGTTTGTGGCACACACAGAACTGATTTTTAACCTTAATGTGTTTTATCTGATGTAATATTGTTGCAGCTGCCTTTCTGATTAGTATCTGTATAAATTAGGTCACCTTAGGTTTAAAGGAACCACTCTTTAGCCCTTCAGCCCATGCCCAGCTTCTGGGATTGAAAAATAAGTCAGCCCAGCCCCTTACTGTGGGCGGGAGACCGCTGAGACGGCTGTGGCTTACTGCTCTTGCTTTGAGTTCTCTCTTCCTTTCTAACACCTGAGGTTATGTCTTCCTTTCCTTGAGCTTGACGATATGTTTTAAAACATTTAAAAAATTATAAATAACCTATATATTTGTGGGAGGTGGATCCTAACCACGTTAGTCTAGACTGCCATAGTTTTAAAAATTAGTAGAATCGTTTGTTAGAAAGAAGTTGGGAATTATCTTTATTTTAGTCAGCATTTAAATATTTTAGGGACTGCCCTCATGGTCCAGTGGTTAAGACACTGTGCTCCCAATGCAGAGGGCACAGGTTCAGTCGCCAGTCAGGGAACTAAAATCCCACATGCCAAAGCCAAATAAGTAAATAAATAAGAATAAAAAGCAAAATATGATCAATTAAAAAATTTTTAGTTAGTAGATGTAAACTTTTATCTATATAGAATGGATAAATGGCAGGGTCCTATTACATAGCATGGAAAACTATATTCAATATCCTATGGTTAACCATAACGGGAAAGAATGTACATAAAAAAATGAATGTATAATGTGTAACTGAGTCACTTTGCTTTACAGCAGTAACTAATACAGCGTTGTAAATCAACTATACTTCAATAAAAAAATTATTATTTTTTTTTAATTTAAGATGACCTCTGATTTAGTTCTGGCTTTTACCATCTGTGAGTCTTTCAGAAAGTCATGTAAATTATCTGGGCTTCACTTGCCCATGTGTTAAATCACAGGGTTTGCCAAATTTTTCCTTCTTACTATCTAGAACCTCAGTACTAAGTAGTCTTAGGCTATATGCTATAAGAAACAAGTCAAATCAACTTCATTATTGCCCTCTACTAGGGTAAAAAATTCATTTTTTACTAGGATAAATTTGTGATAATTAAATGCTTGTTTGGTTAAGAAAGCCTAGATTTAGAAAATTTCTGGTATAAAGTCAACACTTTAAACCTTCAGAAAATTTTTTGGACCTAATGAGAAATGTACATTTGTTCAAACTATGTTCAGATGAAGAATTAAACTTTCATTTTATTCATAAATCAAATATAATCCATGATATGATCATTAGATATTATAAAATAAATTACTTTTATATTTTAATATAGGTGAAGAAAACTGGTCTTGTGGTGGTGAAAAATATGAAAATTGTTGGTCTCCACTGTTCAAGTGAAGATTTACATGCTGGGAAAATTGCTCTGATAAAACATGGGTCAAAGCTGAAAAACTGTGATCTCTATTTTTCCAGAAAGCCATGTTCTGCTTGTTTGAAAATGATTGTAAATGGTAAGTGCAGATAAGGCTTTGTTGGGGATTAATCGCATTTATCTGAGAACAAATCAAATTGCCTAATATAATCTAAAAATATACATGTGTATCTGAAGACAGTTTGATATACTGTAAGAAGAAGAATCAGAAAACATGTATTCTGGTCTCAGCTGTCACTTACTAGTTAGATGACCCTCAGTGTATTGGTAGACTAATACTAGCTGCTTTAACAAACACCAGCAACATTCCAGTGGCTGAATATATTAGACACTCATCACGCATGTAATAGTGCATTGCAGGTGTTAGCGAACAGCAGCCAGCTGTTACATGGTTGATCTCTGGGCCTCAGCATATTCTGTTGTATTGCTACTGGAATCCCTGCTGGCCTCTCCTGTGTCTGGAGACAGGGTAGAGGAGTCATGTTGTTCTTTAGTCACTAAGTGGTGTCCGACTCTTTGAATGTTTAAAAAATGTTGCTTTGTTATTGTTGTTTAGCCTCTAAGTCTTGTCTGCTGCTTTTGTGACCTCGTGAACTGTAGCCCACCAGGCTCCTCTGTCCATGGGATTTCCCAGGCATGAATACTGTAGTGGGTTGTCATTTACTTCTCCAGGGGGTCTTCCAGCCTCAGGGATCAAATGCAAGTCTCCTGTGTTGGCAGGCGGATTCTTTACCACTGAGCCACTAGGGAAAGCAAGAGAAAGCATACCCGTTTCTCAAAAACCCTGGCCTGGGGAAGTCACAGACACCACTTCTGTTTGTGTCCATTGTGGGAACTGGAATTCCTGGCTCGGTGGCTGCCTCCCAGTGGCTACTCTACCCCTTGAAGGAGGAGCATAAAGAATTAGTGTATAGCTATCTATACACACTGGGCTGGTCTCTAATCTCTGTGTTTATGGTTCTGTTTTGCACCTAGGTATGTATCCAGACCATTTTCCTATTTAAAAAATGGTATGTCTTTTACATGAGCTTCCCAGGTGGCTAGTGGTAAGGAATCTGCCTGCCAATGGTAAGGGGAGTTCCCTTGAGCTATAGGCACTTCCCGAAGAAGTGGTCTCGTGGCTGGAGCCTCCTTCAAAGGAGGCCTTCACAGTTCCCTTGCAGCCCCAGCCTCAGCAAGTCTGTAGTAGCAAGGAGTAGATAGAAGTGTGCATTTGTTCAACTCAGGTGTTTATTATTTTGAATATAGAAAACCTGTGGGCCATCTGTCTATTCACCTCTGGGCACAATGATAAAAAAACATAAATGCCTTTTCTAATGGAAATTATATAAGATGTGAGCAAAGGGGTTTCTTTGTTTTAAATACTAATTAATTGACGAACATTTATGCGTTTAATTCTGTATCAGGCGTCTTGTTCAGTTCCAAACACAAATTTAAAACTGTTTTCATGTTTGCTATTCAGTTTTGCTTTCTCTTTTGTAAATTTACTTTCTCTCTTGTCAATTCACATGTGCTCTTAAGAATTTTGATCTCTGTACGTTAAAGGTGGGACTCCTTGGTGGCTCAGCGGTAAAGAATCCACCTGCAGTACTGCTGGGTTTGATCCTGCTTCTGGGTTTGATGCAGGTCAGAAAGATCCCCTGGAGGAGGGCATGGCAACCCCCTCCAGTACTCTTGCCTGGAGAGTCCCGTGGACAGAGGAGCCTGGCGGGCTACAGCCCATGGGGTCGCAAAGCGTCAGACATGACTGAGCCGCTGAGCACAGCAGCCCAGATTAAAATGACTCACTTTTCCTCCGCTACTTTGACTGAAAAATATTCCTTCCAGTTTGTTGTTTTGTCTTTAATTTTGCATTCATAAAAGCAGTTCACACTTCTTCCTCTCCCCCTGCTTCCCTGCTCCTATCACGTTATAAATTCTTTGTGGATGTTTTGGATAACTTTATATTTTATTATGAGGAGAACTGTAATGTGTTAAACTGTTCCCCCATTTTGGCCATTTAGATTTTTTTCTATTTTTACTGTTTTAAACAATGCTGCATGAAACATATACATACAGGAATTTTTATTTTTTGTCTTTACTTCAAATATTTTCTTAGACGAGCTTCCCAGAGAAAGAGTTTAAAGTACCAGTACATTTTTCATGCGTGGATGAATTGTTTATTTTAGGTTCAAAATTCTAGTCAATATCAGTTATGCTGTACTATTTCTAGAAGCAGCCATTTCATTACTGGGAGGACCCTGGTACATCTTCCTAGCTCTGGGCTTTGGGACCACACTTAGCAAAACCATTGATTCCATAGATACTTCCCATGGGCTTTGTTGTCAGCAAACATATCCTATAAAGGGCCTCATAAGTAAGTATTTTAGGCTTTGCAGGCTGTATCGTATTCATACGGCTATTCAGCTCTCAGCTCAGCTAATCCATCATAGTACAGAAACAATGAGACTATGTCAATGATTTGTGTTCCCACAAATCTTTACGGGCACTGAAATTTGAATTTTATGTAATTTTCATTGTGTTACAAGTATTTTCCTTTTGATTTTCTCAACTATTTAAAGCTGTGAAAGCCACTCTTGACCCGGAAGCTGTACAAAAGTAGGCAACGGGGCAGATTTGGCATGTGGCCATAGTTTGCCAACACTCGGCTATGTTACTGGTGATTTGGTAGTAGACATTTATTACGTTGGGACCTCAGGATCTACTGCAATGGTATAATGGATTTAGCAAGAAAACCCTTAATTTCACCAGGCATCTGCTAACTACCTTTCATATTTTTGTATTTCAGCTGGAGTTAATCGAATTTCATATTGGCCTGCTGACCCAGAAATAAGTTTGCTCACTGAGGCTTCTGGTTTCGAAGATGCAAAGTTAGATGCCAAAGCAGTGGAAAGACTGAAGTCAAACAGTCGGGCCCACGTGTGTGTCTTACTTCAGCCTGTGGTGTGTTACATGGTGCAGTTTGTAGAGGAGACCTCTTACAAATGTGACTTTATTCAAAAAATTTCCAAAACATTGCCAGACACTAACTTTGATTTTTATTCTGAATGTAAACAAGAGAGAATAAAAGAATATGAAATGATATTTTTGGTTTCCAATGAAGAAATGCATAAGCAAATACTGATGACTATAGGTTTGGAGAACTTGTGTGAGAATCCGTACTTTAGCAATCTAAGGCAGAACATGAAAGACCTTGTCCTTCTCCTGGCCGCAGTAGCTTCCAGCGTGCCCAACTTTAAACACTACGGATTTTATTGTGGCAACACGGAACACAGTAATGAAATTCACAATCAAAGTTTGCCACAAGAAATTGCAAGGCACTGCATGATTCAGGCCAGGTTACTGGCATATCGAACTGGTGAGTTACACGCTTAGTTCCTAAATCGGGGTTGATGGGATTGTATTTGTGTCAGACATAAAGTGGTGTTCATTTCACTTCTGGTAGCCTTTATTGACTCTTAGATACTAAAGTGTTGCTGCTCATACCAATATAGAGAAGTTAGTGAGACCCTTGAGTACACAACTCTTTCTTAGAGCAGTTTTAGGATTTCTTGTGGCCTGTATTAGATGCTGTATTTATAAATCAGGATCTAATTCAGCCCTTTCTGCTTCTTGCTTTTATCATTTCCCAGTTGAATGAGCCCTCCACTAGAGAAAGGACAAAAAGAGAGAACCAGAATTAGTCCTCTTTTTTAACTGCTCAATATTCTATATGTATTCAGTATTTAGTAAAAACTTTAAAAAAATCTTTTAACTAAAAATATGAATTTCTAATAACCAGTAGAATCAAAGTAAAGAAAATTTGGCAGATTCTTCCAATTTCTGGTATGTTTTCAAACAGCAAGGGGAGAAATCAAACAATTTTTACTTTATTAAGTTGTACATGAGTATGTATGTGAAGAAGGAAAATATTACTTGGGAATTTTACCTTATCATGATAAAGTGTGGTATCTATATTTCCAGTTACAGAATAGTGTTTTTACATCTTACCAGACATAACATTTTTGAAAGTAGAATGATGATCACTTTTTAAAATGCGGCTTTGAAATAAGGAAAAGTAAATGCCGGCAGGAGGAACAGTAGAGGAATATCTGGTGAGTGGGCTATATAGTAGGAATTTTAAAACTTATCCCAAGAAGAGAAGGAGGATAGAGAAAATCTTCAGAAAAAGTCCATATAGATGCACTGGTCTGCAGTACACGCTCAACAAAGACCACGGGTTGAAGTAATTTCAGTAAAATGGAGTTTTTAAAGGCAGCTTGTCAGGATCACCATAGAAACCTTTATTAAAAGTGAAAGTTTAGTTATTCAGTCTTGTCCGACTCTTTGCGACCCCATGGGCTATAGACCACCAGGTTCCTCTGCCCATGGGATTTTCCAGGCAAGAGTACTGGAGTGGGTTCCCATTTCCTTCTCCAGAGGATCTTCTTGACACAGGGATCGAACCCAGGTCTCCCACATTGTGGGCAGATGCTTTACCATCTGAGCCACCAGGGGAGTCCTAAGTACAGATGCTCAAATTCTAACCCAGACCTACTAAGCCTGGTCCCTGTGGGTATGTCCTAGGCCTGTGAATTTTTAAAATTCTGCAAGGGATTCCAATAATCAACAGGGTTAATCATCACGCGATTCTTAAAAGAATTGGATTCTACTACAGGCACAGACTGTATGATGCCAAACAACTGTAGGGCATCGCATCTTATCTATCTTGTTTAAGTGTGAATTTTGATTTCTTTTTATGTCCTGTTTTCCATTAGACTAGGTGCTTTCCAAAGCTGACAATTATGCCTTCCTCCTGAACTACACAATGTTGATGATGAAAGTAGGGTGATATAGCCAAAAAGCTTAATTAACTGTTTCAAATCATAACTCCGTGGTTCTCAACTTTCAGTTGAGGCGATGCTCATGAGAAATCTAGGTTCCCAAGTCTGCTGCCTCCCTTGGAGAGGTTAATTGAGGGAGTTTCCATGGGGGTCAGGAGTCTACCTTTTGAACAAGCGTCCAGTGATTCTGATGCAGTTGGTCTGTGGACCACACTTGGACAAACCCTGATGTGACCACAGTATTGGGAGTGAAAATAACCATGCCTGTGTTCCAAAACAATAGCAAAGAGTCCTCTGACTTTCGGTGATCAAAGGGTCCTAGGAGTTTGGCTTAGTGATTACAAGTTGACCTTTCCTTCGAGGGTATACAGAGAAAACCCTGTGAATGAGCAGATCCTGGGTAGCAATTTATAGACATGAAAGATTTTTTTTAAGAAGTTTTACAAAAATTACAGCTGTGAAATGATTTTTGAGAAATTACCTCATCTGTCATCCAACCTTGAGAGCTGAGTGAAACCTACTCCATTGTATATGGATGAAATTTTATTCCAATTTCAAAAGACATGTAGTAAAGTATATTCTTTTGGTGAAACTAACCTTAGCTGAACAGTGGAGCTTAGTTTAAAAATGACGTTTTGGGGGGCTTCCCTGGTGGCTCGGTGGAAAGAACCTGTCTGCCAATGCAGGAGACACGACTTCAATCCCTGATCCAGGAAGATCCACGTGCTGTGAGACAGCTAAGCCCAGGTGCTATTGAACCTGTGCTGGAGAGCCCGGGAGCTGCAGCTGCTGGGCCCATGTGCCCCAGCTCCTGAAGCCTGGGCGACCTAGATGAGAGCCCACGCTCTGCAACGAGAAGCACCTCAGCGGGAAGCTCTCGCACGGCAACTAGTCCCCCAAGAATAGCCCCCGCTCACCGCAATTAGAGAGAAGCTTGCGCAGCAGTGAAGACCCAGCACAGCCATAAACAAAATTCTTAAAAAAGAAGAAAAATTTTTAAAAATCACATTTTTCCCCCTCTTGGCAAGATTTAGTCTGTCCTCAGGCTGAAACAGAAAAAGTGGCTCCTGGACTGAAAAATAATAATATGAAGAATACTTAGTGTCTTCTAGGAAAGACAGGAAGTGGTAGGAAAAGTAGACTTGATATGAAGAATTTCTCTCCCCCCGCCCCCAGCAAATAGATATTCTTATTTCATTAAAATCATATTAACTGTTTTTTTCATTCAGCAAATGGTTTTTGAACTTTTACCATATGTTAATCACTGCCCTAAGCTCTCTAGATAAAGTTAATATATATATATTTTTTCATTTATTTTTATTAGTTGGAGGCTAATTACTTTACATCATTGCAGTGGTTTTTGTCATACATTGAAATGAATTAGCCATGGATTTACATGTATTCCCCATCCCAGTCCCCCCTCCCACCTCCCTCTCCACCCAATCCCTCTGGGTCTTCCCAGTGCACCAGGCCCGAGCACTTGTCTCATGCACCCAACCTGGGCTGGTGATCTGTTTCACCCTAGATAATATACGTGTTTCGATGCTGTTCTCTTGAAACATCCCACCCTCGCCTTCTCCCAGAGTCCACAAGTCTGTTCTATACATCGGAGTCTCTTTTTCTGTTTTGCATATAGGGTTATCGTTACCATCTTTCTAAATTCCATATATATGTGTTAGTATACTGTAATGGTCTTTATCTTTCTGGCTTATCTAGATAAAGTTAATATTTTTAACTTTTAAAATTAAAAGCTTGGGATTTGAAAATTTTCTATGAGTTTTTCATTTTTTGTTTCAGATTTATGCATGTGTATTAAGTACAATTTTACTTAGAGGTTTTCATTTTTAGCTTCTGCTGTTTGCCTTAGAAATGAGCATAAAGCCATAATCATGTTCTTTTCTCACCATGTTATATTCTGAAGATCTTGGAAGGCACAAGACTTTGTTTATCCCCAAATCCCTTTGCTGACAGTCTCCACCTCTAAAGGACATTCCTGCCACACTGTTCGTCAGTATCATGCTCCTTTCCTTTATAGCCCAGCACACTGCCTTTGCTTTTAGACTCTTTCTCGTTACCACCTTCCTCCCACACCAGACCGTGAGCTTAATGAGTGTAGGGACTCAGGTATCAGTAAAGGGAAGTCTTGGTTATGAAATTCCTCATGTCAGAGGAAGGCAAGCAGGTTGGGTAAAGAGACCTAAAATCTTAATCACTTAATTTCAATATGTAGAATTTCTATTTTGGTTTTGTATTTTCTGTTTAAGATTAATAGTTTAAAGAAATAGAGCTTTGCTTGTTGCAAAGTAATTAAATTGGTTCTGCAGGGAAATTTTAATCTAATATTTATAACTTCTACCACTTGATTTAGAAACGAGCATCATGTCACCAACTTGGCTTTCTTCTCCCCACAAGGTAAACTCTGAAGGTCAGGGAAAGGACATCATTTTGTGTAAATTAAAACTCCTTTCATGTATATTCCAGCAATATATATATGTGTGTGTGTGTGTATATATATATATGGATGTGAAGGCCCATAAGGATATATGTTTATGAGTTTGAACTTTTTTCATAGCAAGAACACGTCCATGAAATGTATTTTCCTTGATGAGAGTGCAAAAATTGTTAGGAAAAGACACATTTGATTGTTGTGAATGGTTATTCTATTAAATGAAATCCATTAGTTCAGAAACTTCTGTCTTACTTTCATCATCTATTAGAAATAGGTATTCAAAAACTGACTTGGTGGAAATTCAGTAAAGTTACCCTAAAGTCTGGTTACAGCTTTGAAGTCACCAAAGTGTGGACACTGCTACTGCAGTGATCTCTGCACAGCATCATCTATGACTGGGTTGGTAGTGACACTGTCTATAATTAGTTCATACCTAGCTCCCATATTCTATGTTTGCCAGTATTTATTCTCATACTTTTCCATAATTAGTGACGTTGTCAAGGATTGCCGCTACATTTATGCAGTATATTTCAATAAATATGTTTATTATTTTTGGAAAAACAATCTATTTCTGAAACTAACAGATCATTGGTTTTCACTGAGTCACATGCCATGTATCTTTCAGAGGATCATAAAACAGGAGTCGGGGCAGTCATCTGGGCAGAAGGAAAATCTGTAAGTGTGAAATTAATTCTTTATAATCATTTAAACTTGACTTTATTTAACATGTTTTGATCTTAAGTGCATGACATTTTGTTGACCTATGGGGATTAGTATTTCTTATTAGGGTATTTATTAAGTTCTAAAAACATTTTGTGCTTTCTTTCAGCAGTTTTCTGGATAGATACATTCATTTAGTAAACCTTCATTCAACACCTTCCACAGGACAGGATAGACTCTGTACCCCCGTGAACAGTGGGAAGTTAAAGGCCACATATTCCACCCTTCATGGCCTTACACAGTCTAGTGATGGAGACAGAGGTGAAAAGAGACGGGCATATAACCGTAATCATAACATGACGTCGTGAGAGCATAGAGGAGGCCTCTTTCTCTGCTCGGAGAAATAAGTAAAGCATTCCTGGAGGAGGTCAGGTGCTATTAGTATTGAAGAATGAGGAGGAGTTCATCAGCAGAGCAAGTTAGTGGGACTCGGAGGGTAACACGCAAAGGTAGTGTGTAAGAATATGGGGAAATGCAAGTGATTTGGCACATTGGAGTCCAGAGTCCTATGTTTAGTTGAGTAACAAAAAAATTAGGCTGCACCATGAAGAATTTTGTATACCATGGAGAGTTTAGACTTTATCTTTTCGACAGTGGGGATACCCTAGCATAGCATTAACCAGCAGAAATAAAAAGCAAGCCACATATGTGATTTAAAAATTCTTAGGAGCCTCATTAAAAAAAAATAAGAAACAGGTGAATTAATTTTAGGAATATACTTAATCACCTGTTGAGAAATATTACCATTTCAGCATGTAACCAATATAGAAATATTGGTTAATATTTTTAATAAAATATTTTGCATTTGAGGGGAGTATTGAGTCTTCATAATTCTGTGTGTATTTTATACTTATTTGTTGTTGTTTAGTCACTTCAGTCATGTCAGACTCTTCTGCGACCCCCTTGCCTGTAGCCCACTAGGCTCCTCTGTCCATGAGACCTTCCAGGCAGGAACCCTGGAGTGGGTTGCCAGTTCCTTCTCCAGGGCATCTTCTGGTACCTCTCGGTTTGCGCTGACCACGTGTGCCTAATGGCTCCTGTATTGGACAGTGCAATCCAAGAATATCTTAAGTGGAAAAATGATCAGATTCGCATTTTAAAAATAAAGTGGGGCTAGACAGGAAGTAGGGAGGTTAAGAAAAGAGATGATGAGGACTTGAAATTATGGGGATGTGTTGAGAAGGAATGGAACTAGGAGACAGTAAATATGATACTGTTGATACTATCACATGAGTAATTATAATATTAATATATTGAAATTTTGTGAGGTTTATAGCTCCCAACTATTATGAACAGGTTTGGTTTATTAAATACTTCACTCTTAAGAGTTGATAAAGCATTCATATTAACACCTAATATGCCACTGACAAGGAGAAAGAAAAAGGCCACTTAAGTAGGAAGTTCTATTATACACACACACACACACACACACACACATACATACACGCAATAGAGGCTCAGTAAACATAAAGATGAAAGGAAAATACATTATTTATTTTCCAACTATATATATAATAGCACGTGTTTAACCCCAAACAGAAATTGTTCAAAATATTTTTAGAATTTCTGACTTGCTAACCAGTAGCACAGCACAGAGCATATAATAAATTAACAATAATTTATAATAATATAGAGTACCTGCTCTGTATGGACCACTATAATAGGTGTGCTTTAAGGGCTAGAAAGAAGCTACAAAACATGATTTCTGTTCTATAGGATTTTATAACCAATCAGGGAGGGATGTCTGAGTCAAGTGAAACAGTTTGTGAATTAAGCTAGTGTTTAACTAACTGCTAAAATGAAGGACTGTCTTGATATTATATACTAGAGATGGGCACCCGTGCGAACATGGTCCTGCAAGCGGTGCGGAGCGTGCGGGCGCGGTCGGCAGCCTGCGCGCCATCTGGGCCCCCAGCGCGCTGCTCGCCGCGGGCCTGGGGACTGCAGGCGGGCGCCGTCTGGGCGCTGCGCACCGGCCCTGCGCTGCTGTCGGTGCGGAAATTCACAGAAAAACACGAATGGGTAAAAACAGAAAACGGTGTTGGAAGAGTGGGAATCAGCCGTTTTGCACAGGAAGCTTTGGGAGATGTTGTTTACTGTAGTCTGCCTGAAGTTGGGACAAAGTTGAACAAACAAGAGGAGTTTGGTGCTTTGGAAAGTGTGAAAGCTGCTAGTGAACGCTATTCCCCTCTATCAGGAGAAGTAACGGAAATGAATAAAGCTGGCAGAAAATCCAGGACTTGTCAACAAGTCTTGTTATGAAGATGGTTGGCTGATCAAGATGACATTCAGTAACCCTTCAGAACTAGATGAACTAATGAGTGAAGAAGCATATGAGAAATACATAAAATCTATTGAGGAATGAAAATGGAACCCCTAAATAAACTACTTTGAAACAACTTAATCTAGCATAGTTGCCTTAAATTAGTGGTGGATAGATACTTAAAAAGAACTTTTAGCAAAAGAAACTATTTGTAACAATGTTTCCTGAAGAAAATACCCCTTAACTTTCTAATGCCTTCAGATAAACACTGTGCATCTTTTCCACAGCATCCTGTGATTTTTAGGCTAGGCTCCAGTTATAATATTCAGAATTCCTGAAATTATCTCTGGTAAAACTAATTACAAAAATTATGTAATTCAAGGATAACATGGTTATCTTTTACCTTATATGACATTGTAACTTGCTTATAGCTATCCTTGGATTGGGTCAAAATGATCTTCCCACTAGAAATAACTGCCAGTGGAGAAAAGTTTGTTAGTTGTATAGTGTCCAGTGAAGAATACTACTGTCTTACTTTTGCAATATACTGTGTTTGCTGGTGTTATTTTTATACAGTGAGGCAACAGCCTTGCAGGAGAATAAACAATTTAATAAAGTATTCAGCTTCTTAATCATGGGGGAAATATATATATATATATATATATATATATATATACACACTAGAGATGATCAGCCTGCTTGAAATTTAACTTTGACAAGATCACCCTGCTGAAGGAAAATCTAATACTGTATTTTTCTGATGGCTCAGTTTATCACTGTTGTTCATTGTTGAGTCACTAAGTTGTGTCTGACTCTTTGCAACCCCCTGGACTATAACAGTCCAGGCCTCCCTGCCCTTCCCTATCTCACAGAGCTGGGTCAAACTCATGTCCATTGAGTCGGTGATGCCATCCAACCATCTCATCCTCTGTCGTTCCCTTCTCCTCCGGCCCTCAGTTCTTCCCAGCATCAGGGTCTTTCCAATGAGTCAGCTCTTTGCATCAGGTGTTCACAGTATTGGCACTTCAGCTTCAGTCCTTGCAATGAATATTCAAGATTGATTTTCTGTGGGATTGACTGGTCTGATCTCCTTGCTGTCCATGGGACTCCTGAGAGTCTTCTCCAGCACCACAATTTGAAAGCATCAGTTCTTCAGCACTCAGCCTTCTTTATGGTCCAGCTCTCACATCCATACATGACTACTGGAAAAACCATAGCTTTGACTGTGCAGACCTTTGTCAGCCAAGTCTCTGCTTTTTAATATGCTGTCTAGGTTTGCCATAGCTTTATAGTGTGTTATGGAAAAGTGAATCCGTCATACAAAGTGTGATACTAGGCTTTAAAGATACAATGTAAGATGTCTTTTCAGAACCTTGAACACAGCTTTGTTTGTTCGCTCACTTTCCATAGAGAAGTTGTGATGGGACAGGCGCCATGTACTTCATAGGATGCGGTTATAATGCTTTTCCTGTTGGATCCGAGTATGCTGACTTCCCGCACATGGATGACAAACAGAAAGACAGAGAAATAAGGAAATTCAGATACATCGTGCATGCGGAACAGAATGCCTTAACATTTAGGTATGAAATCTGTTTATGTGTATTTTGTATAAAATGTAGCAAGGGTTAGTTGAAATTAGCTTTCATTTTGCTGTAACTTATGGCCTTTTAAAAAATTCCAAGAAATATCCTTTTCAGAAGTATAGCTCCGGTCGTACTTGGTTTTTGCTACGTGACCAGAGGCCATTGTCAGGGATCCTCCAGGCCTTCAAATTTATCGAGCAAATCTTTTTTCCTGTCTTCCTTCTCTCTCCAGGATAAAACTGCTTAAAGTTTGTCCTTAGGGTCTTGTATATTTCTGCATTGTAAGATCACCTTTGTTTTCTAAATTCTGAGCATGTATTTATGAATATATAGATATTATTATGAACCAAATTGCTTTAACATAGTTTTTGTTAGAGATTGTCACTGGCATTACCTCCTTTCAATGTTAATTTAGATAATTTCCACAAATCTTTCTCAGCATTTACCATTTAGTGGGTGCTCTTGGGAGATTCAAATCTGCATGAGTCATGGTTTCTGTCCTGAGGAGGTTATAGTCCAGTGTGGGATATAAGACTGTACTCAACCTAACATGATCAGTTGTGTGAGAAGGGCCAATACAAAGTGGGTGGAAATTCAAGGGCTGCAGTAGATGGAGGGGGAGTGTGAGGGAAAACCTTTATGGAGAAACTGGCATTTGAGCTGAGCTTTAAAGGTTTGGTAGGGCTATGGCAATTGAAGATGCTTACTTGAAGGGAGACCATTCTTGCCTGAGGCATAGCAGTGGGCTAGAAGTCGGAAAATGCTTGTGCGTTTAGGAACATAGATGTTCCAGTTAGGCTGGACCACAGGCTAGCTTGGGACTGACAAGGGAGGACCTCGAGTTTAGACCTCATTTGGTAGCAGTGGAAAGACATTGACAGAGCTACAGTAATGATTACTTCGGTTGCAGGTGTATGGTTTGAACAGGCTAGATGCATACAATTCTGCTTCCCTGGTCCAGGGGAACAGAATGAGACTCTAAACTGAGGACATGGATGCGGAAGGCTAGTGATGGGAAGCATAAGACCGAGAGCTTTGTAAACCACAGAACCCAGAAGTACAACTCCTCTATCCTCAGTCCTAAACTACCCCAGCGTGCAGAATTTCACTACACAGGCTTTTTTCCTTGAACTCTTCATTAGGTTTACTTGCTTCATTTTGTCAAATCCAAGTGTTTGTTAAATTATCCTATGCGAGGTAAAAGCAGTAAGGGAACTATAACTCAAAACAGAACTCTAACATTAATCAATTTAGTAAGCATTTATTAAATATCTGTGAGGCACCGGATGAGAGGTAGACCTTCTGGCGACCACGATGACTTAATGTCTAATCACACATGGTACGTTCTCAGGGAAGGCGTTAGTTCTGGCCCATAATTCTGGCTTTATAAAGAGTTTCCTACTTAGAAAGCATTATTCTGTCTGTTTTCTTTTCTTGTGTAGTCTAAATAGTGAAAATCTTGGCATTGACTAATTCAGCAAGAATAAGGTTTGATCATTATTGTGTATAATATTGTAAATCTGTTTCCAAAGTGGCTCAATTTTAATGTTTCAAGATTTTTCTCAAACATAACTTACCCTTTTAGAAGCTACCTTCCTAATTTTTTCATATGTATATATATTTTTGTAGGTGTCAAGAAATAAAACCAGAAGAAAGAAGTATGATTTTTGTGACCAAGTGCCCTTGTGATGAATGTGTACCCTTAATTAAAGGTGCAGGCATAAAACAAATCTATGCTGGGGATGTAGATGTTGGAAAAAAGAAGGCAGACATCTCTTACATGAGATTTGGGGAACTTGAAGGTGTCAGCAAATTTACAGTAAGTAGATACACATTTTTTTCAAATATACTTCATATTATGTTGATAGCTGTTGTTTAGTCACTAAGTCATGTCCGACTGTTTTGTGACCCCATGGGCTGTAGCCTGCCAGGCTCCTCTGTCCATGGGATTTTCCAGGCAAGAATACTGGAGTAGGTTGTCATTTCCTCCTTTGGGGAATCTTCTCAACCAAGGGATCGAACCCATGTCTCCTGCATTGGCAGGCGAACTCTTTACCACTGAGCCACCTGGGAAGCCCATGTTGTTAAGTTACTCTGCTGCATATTTTAAACTAGTGATTCTTACCCTTTTAAAGAGTTTCAACACAATTTTATCATTGAGTTTATTTTTATGTGCAAGCACTTGCCTAGTCACAAATGTTCAGCTTAGGATCTGCCTTCTGAATATATGTCTCTAGAAAGAGAATTTTACCTTGACCTGGTGCTGTGCTGTGCCTAGGCTCTCGTGTCGTCCTCTGCGACCCCGTGGACTGTGGCCCGTCAAGGCTCCTCTGTCCATGGGGACTCTCCAGGCAAGAATACTGGAGTGGGTTGCCATGCCCTCCTCCAGGAGATCTTCCCAATCCAGGGATCCAACCCAAGTCTCACATCGCAGGTGGATTCTTTACCAGCTGAGCTATCAGGGAAGCCTTTAACCTTACAGACCTTGAATTAGTTGGTTCTATAGTGCCATCTGGTGGCTAACAAAAGAAAGTCCCTGACCCACGTCTTCCTGCAGCCTTTTTTTTTTAATTCAGTAGTTCAGTTCAGTTCAGTCATTCAGTTGTGTCCGACTCTTTGCGACCCCATGAACCGCAGCATGCCAGGCCTCTCTGTCCCATCACCAACTCCGGAGTTTACTCAAACTCATGCCCATCGAGTTGGTGATGCCATCCAGCCATCTCATCCTCTGTCATCCCCTTCTCCTCCTGCCCCCAATCCCTCCCAGCATCAGGGTCTTTTCAAATGAGTCAGCTGTTTGCATCAGGTGGCCAAAGTATTGGAGTTTCAGCTTCAGCATCAATCCTTCCAATGAACACCCAGGACTGATCTCCTTTAGAATGGACTGGTTGAATCTCCTTGCAGTCCAAGGGACTCTCAAGAGTCTTCTCCAAACACCACAATTCAAAAGCATCAATTCTTCAGTGCTCAGCTTTCTTTATAGTCCAACTCTCACATCCGTACCTGACTACTGGAAAAACCATAGCCTTGACTAGATGGACCCTTGTTGGCAAAGTAATGTCTCTGCTTTTTAATATGCTGTCTAGGTTGATCATAACTTTTCTTCCAAGGAGTAAGCGTCTTTTAGTTTCATGGCTGCAGCCACCATCTGCAGTGATTTTGGAGCCCCCCAATATAAAGTCTGCCACTGTTTCCACTGTTTCCCCATCTATTTGCCATGAAGTGATGGGACCAGATGCCATGATCTTCGTTTTCTGAATGTTGAACTTTAAGCCAACTTAAATTCAGTAGTAGAGAGTAGTAGATAGAGGTGAACATAGTTTAAAGTTTAAGATTACACAAAAGAAGGGAACACATACACATACACACATGCATGCATGCATGCACACACACACACACACACACACACGCATTTCTCATGAGAAAAATCAGGAAAAAATTAGAAGCAATTATTATTTGATATTTCCAAAGAACTGCTGACATGGTAACTGTTTTGTGGAAAACTCAGAACTTTAATTCCTCATGGTTTTTTTTAACTACTCTGGTTTCTAAAAACCTTTCTCTTTTTAGAAGTAATCTCAAGCATGCAGAAAAGTTACAAAAATACTACAAAGAATTTTTTTTCCAGAAACACTTGAGAGTTAAGTTGTTGCCATGATGCCAAGTCATTCTTAAATACTTTCATTTGTATTTCCTCAAACAGTAGATTATCCTACATAACCACAATACAACCACAAAACTTAGGAAATTTTCATTGATATGTTGCTACTATTTAATCCACAGAGTTCAGTGGGTTTACCAGTTGTCCCAATAAAGTTCTTTATAGCAAAAGGATCCTGTCCAGAATCATGTGTTGCTTGTTAATGATAATTCTGGCACTTAATGTAACTTTTATATGCTATAGCTTGCGGTTAAGTACAAAAAGCATATAATAGTACTGTTTATTATAGATTTCAACTTGACTTTTCTGTTTGAGTCCAGGGTGCCTAGAACATATAAAGCACCTAAAAAATACTTACTAAACCGTGCATATAAGATTCTCTAAGAATTTTGATCCTTAATCCATCAGTAGTCATATCTTCAGGGTCATCCAAAGTTGTTATTAGGGCTTGGTTGGTATGACACATTAACTTTTCTTACTGTTTTAAGCTGTTTGGATATTCGAAAGCACAATGCTGAAATGCTATTTATTAAAACCTTCTTAAACATATGCATAAAATGTTTGTGTCCTTTTATAGTGGCAACTGAATCCATCGAGAACTGGTGTTCTTGAGCAAAATGAGCCTGAAGGCAGAGAGAGTAAGTATCTACGAGTCCTTTATTGAGGTTGATTTTGTTGCTAAGAAAAGAAAAATAGTGACTTATAATGATCAGGTGTTGGAAATTGCTGTGGTTGGAGGTGGAGCATATTCTTTTTGCAGATTAGATTTTTGCCATTCAGTTTGTGCACAGACACTTGTGTATCGACTATATGCTCGATGTCATGGGAAGTGCTGATTAATGACTAGTCCTACGGACTCTGCAGTTTAATACAAATAATCATGCACAAATTGAATTTATAAATTAAATTTATATGAGACTAGGCAACAGTGCTCTCTATACCAAAACAAAAGCCTCTTGGGCAGTTAGAAAGGAAAAATACATATAATTAATACAGATGGGTCTAGAGCCAAATTATGAGGCTATGTAGATTCTTGTTAGAGTAAAGCCATATTAGCTCAGGTTGGTCAGAGAACAGAAATGTCCTGGTTATTTTAATATTCTAATTAAGAGTCATCACAGATACCATAAATGAATTATTAGTCTTCAGAGCTTTACTATTTATATATTAACATGTATTTTTAATGTAATATAGTCTCTAGGAGACCTTGCAATTCTTCATGCGTATTATTTTGAATATGAATTATTACTGTACAATATTATTTTAAAAGATTAGTTATGTTATCTTTATGTTTGGATTCAAGGTAAGTAGAAGTTCAATATAATAAGTAAAATTTTATTGATAATAACCATGATTTGATTACTCTGAAAAATCAGTAACTATGAAAGTCTTTATGAAAATAATGTCTATGTGAATATCCTGATTTTTGTGTTCTAACTTAGCTTTATTTTATTCAGGTAGTAAAATTTTAATTTGCAGTCTGGAAAAAAAGTACATATCCACTCCATCTCTCTTTTTAAAAATTTATCAGGGGGGAAAAAAAGTAGCTAAAGATGAAAGGAAAAAATATGGATCTGATTAAAGAATATGTATTCAATAATAGTGTTTGAGGGGGGTGAGTTAATATTCCCTGTTGTTAGGGAGAAGACACAAAAAAGCATTAAACATAAAATATGAATTCATTTATCTGTGTTAAAATAAAGAACATCTGTTTTTCAAAAGATAGCACTAAAAGAGCACAAAGGCAAGCCATGAAAGGGGAGATTTTTGCCACTTACAAGCAAGAGTCGTAGCCAGGGTTCCCTGTCCCTAGAACACTAAGGTGAAGGTGACGTGCTGCGGGGGGAAAGAGGGGTCGTGGTGGCGAGGGGATGAGAGGAATGCTTTCATTTTGCTGGTAATGCTTTATTTCTTGACCTGGGTGATAGTTAAATATGTTTGCTTTATGACTGTCCACTGATCTGCAGGTTTATGTTTTATATGTAGTTTTCAACAAGTGTTTTATATCAGTAAATAATATCCTTATCTCTTTTTCAATTTTATAAGAGCTTGATTGAGGTATAATCCATATACCATAAATTTGCCCTTTTAAAGTACAGAATTGGGTGGGTTTTGGTAGATTCAGAGTTGTGTAACCATCACCACAGCCTAATTTCAGAATTTTCCATCAGCTCAAAAAGAATCCTCTTGCCCATTTATTAGTTATCCCTGTTTCCTCCTGCCTCCAGCCCCAGGCCACCACGAATCTACTTTGGTTTTTGGATTCATATATTCTGGTCATTGATTTTAGATCGTTCCTCTTTTCTCATATATACATTCACTTTCTCTCTAGCATTTCTCTAGCGTTTCTTCCACTGAATGGAAGAAATTTTGATAAGTTGCGTTTTTATTTAGTTCAAAACATTTAAAAATTTATTTTTTTTCCATTTATTTTTATTAGTTGGAGGTTAATTACTTTACAATATTGTAGTGGTTTTTGTCATACATTGACATGAAAGCCATGGATTTACATGTATTTCCCATCCCGATCCCCCCTCCCACCTCCTTCTCCACCCGATTCCTCCGGGTCCAAAATATTTTAAAATTTATCTTGAGTTTTTTGTTTGTTTGTTTGTTTGTTTTACTCATTTGTTATTTAGCAATGTATTATTTAACTTCCACATATATTTTGAGATTTCCCAGTTATGTTTCTATTAGTCTTTTCTAGTTTAATTATATTGCGGTCTGAGAGCAGACATGATTTCTATTCTTTTAAATTTATTAGGGTGTGTTTTATGGCCCAGAATGTGGTCTCTCTTGGTGAACATTCCATGTGAGGTTAAGAACAATGTCTATTTTGCTATTGTTGGATGAAGTAGTCCGTGGTTGTCAATTATATACAGCTGATTAATGGTTGAGTTCATGTGAGAATGGGTAAAAGATAGTTAAAGGTATTTCACAACAGAAAAAACACAGACATCTAATAAACACATGAAAAAATGCTCAAGCTCATTAGCAGTCATGGAAATGCAAATTAAAGTCACTGCAACAGTGTTTACACCATTTGCTGTACCTACTAGAGTTGCAAAATTGAAGTTTGACGACACCAAGTGCTAGCGAGGAAGTGGATTGTTAAAACTTTTGTGTATTGCTGGCTGGACTGAAAATATATACAGCCACCTTGGGAAAGCAGTTTAATGTTATCTTTGTAAAACTGAAGATGTGTATACTCCATGACCCAGCAATTTGACCTCTAAGCATATGCCCTAGGAAAACTCTTACATGTTTCATAGGAAAGACAGAGATAGATAATACATTGCAACATTGCTCTTAAAAGCAAAAACTGGAAATAGCACAAAAATTTATCTCTGGAAATTAAAATATTACAGTGGAATATTATAAAGCAGTGAAAGTAAAATGAATTACATCTACATTCTTGAACATTGATGGATCTTAGAAATATAATGCTAAATGAAAAAATCAAGTTTCAGAAGACTAAATACATTATAATGCAACTTCTATATAGAGTTAAACAAGAAGGCAAATAGTGTATTGGTTAGTACATGTGGCAAAATTATTTCTAAGAAGCAATGGAATGATAAATGATTCAGCACAGTGGTTACTTCTGAATAAGGGAGAAAGAGGGATGGGATTAGACTGGGGGGCACGTGGGAAGTGGTAACATTCTAGTTTTGCGGGTTGGGTAGTAGGTTCTTGAGCAAACTCTGGGAAAGAGTGGAGGACAGAGGAGCCTGGGGTGAAAGAGTCCGACACGGCTTAGCAAATGAACAACAACAAAGTAGGTTCTTGAGTGTTAATTTATTATTAGGCTTTAGGACTCTCATCTGTATCACACACAGTCTTTTTTTAATGTTTCCAATATTACATAATAAGAGAGAAGGCTTTCCAGATCTATTCTCCCTGCACCCTGATCCAGGTGTCCTTAAGACTAGGAAGAGTGAGGCGAGCACAGAGGCTTGAAGGGCAGGCAGATCCCTGGAGAGACAGAAAGCAGCAGGATAAAAGGAGGCTTTCAGAGGTGGTGGGTATACTTACCATCTTAACCATGGTGGTGGATTCTTCGATGTGTGCTTGTGTTGAAACCCATAACATTGTGCACTTTACACACACACAGTGTGTGTCCCAGGAAGGCCAGGGAAATCAGGTCATGGGGTGAAGTGGAAGCCAGGCCCATTTCCCACCTGACCAAGCTGATGAGTCTGCTTGCCTTCTGGTGGGGGAGCGTGGGGATGGCGGGGTGTCCCCTCACACCTCCCTGCCCCGAAGACGGCTCCCTTCTCTCCCTGGACAACAGATGGGTCATGTTGTCTCATCCAGCCTAACAGTAATAACTTTTCCCCCAAAAAAGTTTTGTGAATTGTCTATACACTGTTGATGAATCCAGTTTGTAAAAGGTCAGATACATTGTGTCACCTGTGAGTGACTTATCTAGAGTCTGTTCTTTAACAGTTGAGAATTTTAAAGATAAAATCAATATGCCCTTCTTCATTTTTATTTTTTAAATAATCCTCTTTAGCTTAAGCATTATTTTGATCTTACAACCTCTGACTTTAACAAATGCTCATTTCTTTGAAGTGACGTTTTCCTGATGTTAAGTTATTCTTGACCGCCAGATGGCGTGTTGGGACCCGTACCCCTGGAGGAAGAACCGCACCAGAACAAGAAGCTGCGTCTTTCAAACCACTAAGAAGTCTTGTCTGAGCAAGGGCTGAAGGCCTCAAGAATTTTTATTGCACTTTTAAAATCCAGCCTTGTTAACTCAGAAAATAAGAATGGATTTTGTAAATAGTTGAAAAAATTTTTTTAAAGGAAGCTAATTTATTATTAGCATACAAATGATACTAATATTTTTATTTAGATTTATTTGTATGTTTTCCAAAGTACAGTGGTGTATTCTTTTCTTACACTGAAGGAAGTGTCAATCATTTCATGAGACCAGTTCAGTTGGCTACAGGGACTGATTTCTCCTGGTCTTAGCTTTAGGGGATCCAGTCTGAAAGGGGCTGGTTCATTGGAGGTTCTCATCTCAGCAGAGAAGTACACACCTTTTCAGAAATATTAATCCCTTTGGATTATGAAGGTGATAATTAGTAATCTACTCAAGGGAAATAAACAGCAACCTGACCATTTTTAAGCCAATGTGTGACTTAACAAAAGGCCCCATTTATACCCAAAACTTTCTGGTAATCAGAATTTACTTGATTAGCATGGAGTCATACAAATGAATTTGGTGGACTGGGCTCCATTATAAAAGTGTGTTCCTAACAAGGTTATTCATTTTTTTCAGTCTTGCAGTGTGTAAAAATCATCATCACTTGTTGGACTCTGGTATTACATCACTGATTCAGGGTAGCAATAGGAAGATAGCTTTATTCTCAGACAGTATTACTCTCTGATCTCACTGACTCTTGAAACCACTAACAAGAGAAGAAATATTTGAGTCTGGAATTCCATTCATAAATGCTGCCCATTACCCCCTCCATATAATTAGCAGAGAGCGTTTTAGGGCTTTGAATGGAAGGCCTTACAAAAACATTTGCAAACCGTAAGAATACTGGAAGTCTTGCCGGTAAACATGATGGTCAGTTCAGTTATTTTCCAAATTGCTCTTCATGAGTCCTCTCATTTTTTATTTGTTGCAGAAACTTTCAGATTAGCCCAAAGATGAAGGCACAGGCTTTGTACTTCCCCGGAGATAGGGAGGGAGCCACATGGCCAACGGCCCGCGGGCAGGCCCGGGGTGTGACGGGCTCTGTGTGGGGAGTCAGCTCCAGCTCTGCTGTCGCCCATTTTCTTCCCATGGCATCTCGTATCCTCACAGGGCCTCCCGCCAGTCTCAGGAGGGTGGACAGGACCACCCACACGTGGCCCGGTGCCCCTGTTTGGACAGCAGCCCACTCAGCCTGTGTGTGTGTGTGTAAATTTTTTTTTTAACTGCTGAATCTAGTGCCTGCAAGTGTCTAGCACGTAACAGGCATTCAATAAATATTTGTTGACCGAATGACTGCTGGACACTGCCTAGACCCTGGAGATGAGACGTGTAAGAAATGCTCCCTGACCTCAAGAAGCTTGCAATCTAGTGACAGATGTAAGCGTAAAGTCACGTATTAATAATAGTGCTTCTCAGAGCGGGGTCCCTGGACCAACAGCGTTAGCCTCATCTGAGGACTTGTTAGAAGTGCACATTGTTAAGCACTAACCCAGACCTGTTGAATCAGACTCCGAGGCTGGGGCCAGCATTCCCTCAAGGTGACTCTGAGGACTTTCAAGGTTGAGAACTGCCCTGTGGATGTAACTGAAGGAACAGTGGTGGAAGGAACACTCAAGAGGACAGGCAGACACTCGGGTGAGTCACAGAAGGGCCTGTAGAAGTGGAGGCCCTGAAGGGGCTGCAGGGAGTAGTCAGGGGAGCAGTGAGGGTGAGATGAACATCTGGGAAAGTAATGGAGATGGGTGGTCACCCTGGGAAGTAGGAAAGGGAAGCGACTGGGAACTCACACAAAGATTGCTAACCTGTACCAGGAGCCCCCTGGGGCAGCTGCTGCTGCTAACTCACTTCAGTCGTGTCCAACTCTGTGCGACCCCATAGACGGCAGCCCACCAGGTTCCCCCGTCCCCGGGATTCTCCAGGCAAGAACACTGAAGTGGGTTGCCATTTCCTTCTCCAATGCATGAAAGTGAAGAGTGAAAGTGAAGTCGCTCAGTCCTGTCTGACTTTTAGTGACCCCATGGACTGCAGCCTACCAGGCTTCTCCGTCCATGGGATGTTTCAGGCAAGAGTACTGGAGTGGGGTGCCATTGCCTTCTCCGCTTGGGGCAGCAGTACTGCCTAAAACCTAGTCACCCACAGTCAAGAGGGCTCACCCCTCAGGCTGAGAAATCGGAACTTGCCCTTAAAAATACATCATCATTAATTTCAAAGATTGGGAAGATGATAGTAAATGCATAATTTGAAAAAGAGCTCTGCATTTGTTTACTGCCAAGGACAACAGCTGTGCCGACTGGAGGTGGGGTGAGTGCAGGCCTGGCTCAGCCCTCGGCTGTCAGTGGGGTGTATGAAGTTTTACCTGTATCAGATCACTGCCAACGCTTTTTCTTTTATTCGGCTTTTCCATGGGTTTCTCTTCCTCAGTTACTTAATGAGTTTGAGAATACACCTTCTCATAAATCTTCCTCGGTTTATGCATGAACAGTTGAGCTTTCAGATCTACCACAGCAGTCTGCTTTTAACCCACTTTAGAGCTATGTTTTGAAGTTCTTGTATTGCCAAGAGTGGCCACTTAGCATTGAGCTGTGGCTATTACTTTTGCTTCTTAAGGTCAAGGAACAGTTTAGAACCTTCATTTCATGTGTCATATTAAAGGGTTTTTCTGCGACCATTTAAAATTATTACATATTTTTTACATATAAGAAGAGTAAAAAGCCCTATTAATCAGTACCAGTTGAAAACAAGGCCTGTTTAAAATGGAATACCCTTTAGAAATGCGTCCATAAAATGTGTTTACCCTATTCAATTACTGCACTTAAAGAGACTCAGATTTCAAAGGAACTTAGATCTCATCTATTTAGAATACTCCTCTGCAGAACTGGAAACACAAGTGTCCAGAAGGTGAATGATTTCTTAAAGTCTAGCTCAGGATGTCACAAGGGCCTAAATCAGTATCGGCTTTGGTTTTTTCTCTCTACATTTTCAGTTTTGTTTTTAATGTCAGTGCTCATTTATCCTGTACCTGTTGACATATTCGCTGATTTTAACATGTGTGTGACAGTAATAAAAGACTTCTGTCATCGTAAATTAAGTCATTTTTTAAGTAAAATTACACCTACACATTTTAAGTGAGCAAAATAGATCTATAAACCTTTCTTTGAAACAGTAAGACCCACTCTGTCTTCTGTATCACCCTTCCCTAGAGGCCACCAGGCTCAAGGCTTTTAGCTGATTTACTTTGTATTTGTCTCCAAATCACATGTTCCTTAATAGTGTTTCAGTTTTAGGTATTTTCTTTTGAATTTCCATCATGGAAGGGCTTTCTTTCACCTCCCTCTCCTCTGCACACACTACCGTCTCTCCATCCTCCCAATATTCTTTTAATTTGGTTGCATCAGTATTCATTCATTGTTTGGTATTATGACTGTAAGTGCTACTCACAGCTTTATCACGTTGTGTACTGTGATGACTTTCTGTATAAAATGTATTTTCGTGCATTTCAAATTTGTCTTTTCTGCGCGCGGCTGTGGGGACATTGCTTTTGTATATTTTATTGCTGACCTGTAGCCAAACCCTTCTCCCAGCTGTGTGACCTTCTCTCGGTATTCAAGCACACTGCTGCTGCTGCTGCTGAGTCGCTTCAGTCGTGTCCGACTCTGTGCGATCCCACAGACGGCAGCCCACCAGACTCCGCCATCCCTGGGATTCTCCAGGCAAGAACACTGGAGTGGGTTGCCATTTCCTTCTCCAGTGTATGAAAGTGAAGTCGCTCAGTCGTGTCTGACTCTTAGCGACCCCATGTACTGCAGCCCACCAGGCTCCTCCGTCCATGGGATTTTCCAGGCAAGGGTACTGGAGTGGGGTGCCATTGCCTTCTCCGATTCAAGCACATTGGGTGTCCTAAAAAGGTTTTCTTATTGAAGATGTCCCTCCCGGAGCCTCTGACCACCTCCAGCCTGGACTGATCAGTCACTGGACCTTCTGCACTGCTGTCTTCCTGGGTTCGCCTTCCTCGGCGCTCCTGGGGTGGGGAAGGGCGGGGACAGAGGCATCCTCCACCTTCTTGAACTGGAACCCCCAGAATCTAGACTTTTTCTCAGTTGGGCGGGCATATCTTTGAGAAGGTCCCTGAGAAAAGGTACATGGTGGTGAGATGACTGTCAGAACAGACTTGCTGGGAACAGTTTCAATACTATGAGTATCTGTGAATATCTTTATTCTGCCCTCAATTTAGATAGTTTGTTGGGTGTAGAATTCTAGATTGGGAATAACCACCTCCCCTCACCCTGCCTCAGAATTCTGAAGGCCTGTTTCATGATCCTGGTTACACTACTTCAATGAGTTTCAAGGTTTGGGCTGTCAATCAGACTCACCAGATTCAAAGAGGGCTGCCAGGCAACATATTTCGGGGCAGTATAGAGCAGAGCACAGCCTCATGCACCACAGCACATTCCCAGGCAGAGCGTCCGACTGTCATCACGGAGTCCCCTGTTCTGTCTGTCCTGAGCTTATGTTTAAAACAAAGAAGGCCAAAACTTCACTCTCATTTTATGATTTCAGGGGCATAAACAGAGGTAAATTAATGTTTGTTCACTTCTCCATTTTCATATTTTCTGTAATGTTTTGGCTTTAAGCATGAAATTCCTTTCCTGCAGTCATTTATTTATTTTTATTTTTTTTCCTGCAGTCATTTTAAATAATTAATGTATTTAGTATAAATGGGCTCAGTTGCTTCAGTCGTGTCTAACTCTTTGCAACCCTACGGACTGTAGCCCACCAGGCTCCTCAGTCCATGGGATTCTTCAGGCTCCTCTCTCCATGGGAGTGGGTTGCCATGCCCTCATGCAGGGGACCTTCCCAACCCAGGGATCAAACACACGTCTCCTGCATTGCAGGCAGATTCTTTACCGCTGAACCACCAGGGAAGCCCATTTAGTACAAATAGCCACCCCCTAATATTATGTATCTTCCCCCTGGGG